AAACACAACATAAACACACCAACAAAACCACACACAACAGTTAGAAACAGACCAGTACACCCAAAAGACAAGATACCAGCTGGGCTTAAATGTGGAGTCGTTTACAAAATCCCATGCAAACTCTGCAATAAAACATACGTACTGTAGGAGAACCCGGACGCCAACTCAACGCACGAACAATAGATCATAGAAAGGAGTGTGAGAAAGAAACAAGTCAAAAACACACAAGAGCAGCAAAAGAAGAAGCAGAAAGCACAATAAAGAAGTCAGCCGTAACAGATCATTGCACAAGAGAAAACCATGTAATGGACTGGGACAACACAAGGATCATAAACACCGAACAACAGAAATACAAAAGATGGATAAAGGAAGCTATAGAGATAGGGAGACGTGGATGTGGGACCATGAACAGGGACGACGGAGTTTACTCGTTGGATCGTGCATGGGACTGCATCGTCGGAGAGGGGAGAGAGGGCAGCAGAGGGCGACAACGTCCTCTGCTGCCCGCGAATAAACAGAGTAGGAAGTGATGCCACCGTCAGCGTCAGCTCTGAGGATGTTTGCAGAAACAATCGAAACGTCAGCAAGGTAAAGAAAAAATCTTTTCTGTGTTTTAAAAAGAAACAAAAATGGAATTAGAAGACAAACACAGCAAGAACGTACAAAAGGTGAAGCTGTTGCCATAAAGGCTTCCAGAGGGTTGGTAGTGGACTGGAGACAACCAGCTGTTCAGGAAAGTTGGGTCTGGAGCAAAATGAAGGCAGTTTCACATCAGCAGCTGCAACCTCCATTTGTTTACCAAATGCTTCCCATCATTGCTCTGCTGTTTTGAGCTTTGTGGGAATCTGTGAGGCAGCCTGACGAAGTAACCGAAACTGCTGACAAATCATTAGTAGGACTGAGCCTTCTGAATGAAAATGATGCGTAGGACGTCCACCTCTCAGGAAATGAGGTGTGGTAGCTGTCCGCCATGATAACTTCTTCCTGATTCATAAGCTGACGTCGTTCTGATGTCTGCTTTCAGCAGGTAAGACTGCTCTTGACTCCTCCACGCCAGTAAATAAACCAAACTTTGAATGCACAAGCATTTTTGTTTAGTGGTGAAATAAAACAGTAAACATGAATTAAACTAATCTGGCTAATAGAACACAATATGAACGCATTTATGTTCATTTTTCTGTAATCTGACATAAAAATATAAATTTTAAGGTGTTTCTCCACAGGGTGGCTGGGCTCTCTCTTAGAGATAGGGTGAGAAGCTCGGTCATTCGGGAGGGGCTCTGAGTAGACCCGCTGCTCCTCCACATCGAGAGTCAGTTGAGGTGGCTCGGGCATCTGGTCAGGATGCCTCCCTGGTGAGGTTTTCCGGACACGTTCAACCGGGAGGAGACCTAAAGGGAGACCCAGGACACGGTGGGGGGACTATGTCTCTCACCTGGCCAGGGAACGCCTTGGGATTCCCCCGGAGGAGCTGGCCCAAGTGGCTGGGGAGAGGGAAGTCTGGGCCTCTCGACTTAGGCTGCTGCCCCCACGACCAGACTCCGGATAAGCAGATGAAAATGGATGGATGGATGGATGGATGGATGGATGGATGGATGACGGATGGATGGATGATGGATGGATGGATGGATGGATGGATGGATGATGGATGGATGATGGATGATGGATGGATGAATGGATGGATGGATGATGGATGGATGATGAATGGATGATGGATGGATGATGGATGGATGGATGGATGATGGATGGATGGATGGATGGATGGATGGATGGATGGATGGATGGATGGATGGATGGATGGATGGATGGATGAATGGATGATGGATGGATGATGGATGGATGGATGAACGGATGGATGGATGATGGATGGATGGATGGATGGATGGATGGATGGATGATGGATGGATGGATGATGGATGGATGGATGGATGGATGGATGGATGATGGATGGATGATGGATGATGGATGGATGAATGGATGGATGGATGATGGATGGATGATGAATGGATGATGGATGGATGATGGATGGATGGATGGATGATGGATGGATGGATGGATGGATGGATGGATGATGGATGGATGATGGATGGATGGATGATGGATGGATGGATGGATGGATGGATGGATGATGAATGGATGATGGATGGATGGATGGATGGATGGATGATGGATGGATGGATGGATGATGAATGGATGGATGGATGGATGGATGGATGATGAATGGATGATAGATGTATGATGGATGGATGGATGGATGATAGATGTATGATGGATGGATGGATGGATGGATGATGAATGGATGATGAATGGATGATGGATGGATGGATGGATGGATGATGGATGGATGATGGATGGATGGATGGATGGATGATGAATGGATGGATGGATGGATGGATGGATGGATGGATGATGGATGGATGATGGATGATGGATGGATGATGGATGATGGATGGATGGATGGATGGATGTATGATGGATGGATGGATGATGAATGGATGGATGGATGGATGGATGGATGATGAATGGATGATAGATGTATGATGGATGGATGGATGGATGGATGATAGATGTATGATGGATGGATGGATGGATGATGAATGGATGATGGATGGATGGATGGATGGATGGATGGATGGATGATGGATGGATGGATGGATGATGGATGGATGGATGGATGATGGATGGATGGATGGATGGATGGATGGATGGATGGATGGATGGATGGATGGATGGATGATGGATGGATGGATGTATGATGGATGGATGGATGATGAATGGATGGATGGATGGATGGATGGATGATGAATGGATGATAGATGTATGATGGATGGATGGATGATAGATGTATGATGGATGGATGGATGGATGATGAATGGATGATGGATGGATGGATGGATGGATGGATGATGGATGGATGGATGGATGGATGGATGATGGATGGATGGATGGATGGATGGATGGATGGATGGATGGATGATGAATGGATGGATGGATGATGGATGGATGGATGGATGGATGGATGATGAATGGATGATAGATGTATGATGGATGGATGGATGATGAATGGATGATAGATGTATGATGGATGGATGGATGATGAATGGATGATAGATGTATGATGGATGGATGGATGATGAATGGATGATAGATGTATGATGGATGGATGGATGGATGATAGATGTATGATGGATGGATGGATGGATGATGAATGGATGATGAATGGATGATGGGTGGATGGATGGATGGATGGATGGATGATGGATGGATGGATGGATGGATGATGGATGGATGGATGGATGATGAATGGATGGATGGATGGATGATGGATGGATGATGAATGGATGATGGATGGATGATGGATGGATGGATGGATGGATGGATGGATGGATGGATGATGGATGGACGGATGGATATGGATGGATGGATGGATGATGAATGGATGGATGGATGGATGGATGATGAATGGATGATAGATGTATGATGGATGGATGGATGGATGGATGGATGATAGATGTATGATGGATGGATGGATGGATGATGGATGGATGATGAATGGATGGATGGATGATGAATGGATGATAGATGTATGATGGATGGATGTATGATGGATGGATGGATGATGGATGGATGGATGGATGGATGGATGGATGGATGATGGATGGATGATGAATGGATGGATGGATGATGAATGGATGATAGATGTATGATGGATGGATGGATGATGGATGGATGGATGATGGATGGATGATGGATGGATGATGAATGGATGGATGGATGATGAATGGATGATAGATGTATGATGGATGGATGGATGATGGATGGATGGATGATGGATGGATGAATGATGGATGGATGGATGGATGATGGATGGATGGATGATGGATGGATGATGAATGGATGGATGGATGATGAATGGATGATAGATGTATGATGGATGGATGGATGGTGTTTCCCTTGTTACGACGTGCCTCAACCAGGCCTCACCCACACTTGACCTGCGTTGTGAGCTTAAATCACATCAAGGGCTGATTTCCTTACAGTTTACTCAGAGCCACAGTCAGCCCAGTTATTGTGCAACATCTCATCAGTACCTTAAAGATCTGAAACACCACCCACCCAAACCTGTCAGAGCCGACGTAGTCGTGTGTGATTAGAGGCCGAGTCACAAAAAGGCGCCAGTAATCTCTTCAGCAGACAGCTGGAACAGAAAAACACTCAGCATGCTGACAGTATTTGGGTTTGAACAGCTGGGAGCCATCCGCTGACCCGATACGAACCAGAATCTGTCGCTCAGACCAACAGACTGCTCCAAAAGTGACTGGAGAGCTCACAAAATCCCGCCTCTTTCATCGGAAACCAATAATCATTGTGGACATGGTGGGCTGCAGATGATGAGGCTGCAGGGGTGAAACCATGTTGCAGTGCATAGATGTGGTTTTGTTTAGAAGGTTGCAGGAGGAGGTTGTTTATTTCTAATTAGCTAATTAACTACATAGAAAGCCATCATTAAAGCGAATAATCTCAGACAAATAAAGGATGCAGAAATATAAACTGATTTAATACAATTCAGCTTTTCAGGCTTTCTTTCTTTTTAAAAAACAAGCCAAATATTTGCCCTGGGTGATTTTGTTTACTGGATAATTATATTAAATCGGCTGATGTCTTCACTTACAACAAAATCCAAGAGCAACACCTTTGATCTGGTGTCACTAAGACAGGACACTGGCTTAAATAGGTCACACTGCAATGTTTGCAGCATTTTTTCTCTCATCTTAGCAGCTTTTCAGTCAATAAGACGATCGGTCTTCACCAATCAGCAGCTTTGGGTAACATTGCCAAATTGACTGCAGCTGTAACCTTAAAATGCTAAAAATATTCATTAAAAACTTCCACTAAAATAAATCTTCAGTAAAATTAGGTGTAAAACTGCTTCATCTGACAAACGTTCTTATTCATTCAGCCAACGCTGCGCTCGAGACAGACACACGACAAAAAGCAGATTTTGGAAAAACATCAATTTTATTTTGAAATGACTCGTGTGTACATTCTGTGTTCTTTCCTTTATTTTCATGTTTTTAATCGCTTGAGAGAAAAATATCAGATCAGACACAACTTGCGAGAGAAAAAAGGCAAAATGAACAAGAACAGTAATTATTTTATTATTTTCCCTCGGGGACGGGAGGGTCGGACCTAAAAAAGAAAACAGGAATGCTACGACCGAGAACCGTCTCCTCCCAGGTTGGAATTATGAGCCCGAGCTCACATCCTGTGCCACGTCAAGGAGGACAACCAGTCACAGTGTAGTGTCCACAAGCTCCCATGATGCCCCTCTCTCCATGGGAGACTAAGGCAGTCAAACACAGTAGGTCCCAGTGTGCACGTGCATGATCGCGAGATGAAGCACTAGAAGGAAAGATCTCCATTCTCTCAAGTTTTCAGGCAAAAAATTTAACTGCTACAGGTTTGATATCAAATGCATCTTTCTGTGACTGAAAACCAGCGACCATCTTCATGTTTAGAAGCTGCAAACGTTAAAATCTCGGAGAGAAAAGAGAAGCCAGGAACAGGAAAGGACTCCAAACGCAGCTGCCCGGCTACAGATGACGAGGCGGCTGAACGAGCTGCAGAGTGACTCGTTTTTCTGACATCACAGACGAATGGAGATCCTTCCCACCCAGAGGTACAGTGTATCTTGACTAACAGCGCGTTTCTGGTGTCATTTCAAAACAACATGATCCAGTTTTCTAGCTTGACTTTAGAAGCGAAACCCTTCAGTTTTCCCCACAATCTCACCGCATCAGTTAGCCTTGACAAACAGTGCTGCAGCCTTGGAAGGCGACGTTAATTTGCTCTGCTGAGACGAGGATGAGAGGAGATGATGATTCACAGCACAGTAGAGGACCAACCGACCGGGGAGAGGGTGGAGGGTGGGAATGGGCAGGAGACGGTCGGTTAAGGTGCTTATATAGACGCTTTACTTGTTTGTGTGTGCTAACAATCACGTATGTGCGTATTCAGTCAGGTCTGAACCTTAAAGGAGTAACTTAACGGTTCAAAAACACATAAGAGACACGAGTTTTAATCATGTAAACTAACAGCAGAGGATCCAGATGAGCAGTTTTCATTTGGTTCCAGTATTTCTGCAAAAATAAGACTTCCAATCTTCTCTTATGCTTCCTAAACTATTCCTTTAACTTGTCGTTTCCTGAGTCCTTGAATGAGTGCAAAATGTGAAGATCTGGAGGAAGACGTTTCAGTTCCTGCAGACTGTGGTTTAGTCATCAAACAGCCCTTTAACATCCTACACAAAACCACATTCAGCCTCCTACTGTCCACGTCGGGGACATCCTTCGGGTCTAAGGATGAGACTGCACGCAGCTTTAATTACAAACACTTTAAACGCAAGTATACAAGCACCCATTTGTAAGTGTGCACCAACAGTTTCAAAGCTAAAGTCAACGGTAAAGAACACAACTGCTTGGGATTCATTAAAATGCCAATTAGCAGATAAAAGGGCTAATCTTGGAGTCATCTGTGTCCTCTCCCATTCCACCTCACCCTCTCCCAAAGAGCCCAGCCCCAACACCCCCCCCCACCCCCCCGGTAAACCCCAATCCCTCAACCCGGCTGCTTCCAGTGGACCGTACTGCTCTACTCGGCCTGAGCGTCGTAGTTGGCTCCTCCCGCCTTCCTCAGCTCCTTGCAGAGGAACTCTTGGTCCAGTTCGCGTGAGTCGCTGATCACAAACTCCTTGGCAAAGTTCTGCAGAGACAAATGTGCTGAACTGAATATCGGAGCAACCGGAGCAGTCCAGCATGTGGTGGGCTGTTTCAAAGCAACCAGTTTCCCCAAAGGAACCATTATTGTAATTGCCTCTCGCAGGAGTCACTGACCTGCACCACGTCTTTGACTAGAGTCTTGTCGGTGCTGATCTTGGCCCGCTGCAGCCCGGTGATGTCTTCGCCTATCCAGGTGAGGAAGGTGAACTTGGCCCGTTTGCTCATGGCGTCGCCTGTTGTAAACCGGACGAAGCCGAACAGACGCGTGTCGTCTGAGGAAACACAGGTGACAACCGTTAAGGAAATGTCCTCCGTGTATGCACTAAAATGTCTTTTTGTTAAATTCCACCTTATTGGAACAAACGAACGTTAAAACTCAAAATGCACAATAAAAAAGCTGCAAAAGACTTGAGTAAAAGCCTGGAAAAAGCATGCAAACAGGAAGCATCCAGGTCAGTAGACTCTGAGCTTTGCAGTTGTGTCACAAACCTCCAGTGACCACGCCTGGTGGTCAACCACAGTCTGGGAATCAGTCTGAACACAAACAAGCCGGGAGACAAAAGAATCAGGATTTCTGCTGCTGCTTCAGTCCGACTCCCACCTCAGGCCTCGTTTAAACACCAACCGAGTATTTAAACAACCTTAAGTAAACCTGAAAACTAAGAATATGCCTCGTTTGCCTGTTTCCAGCCTCATGCAAAGACTGGGCGTTACAATTAGGGCACAAAAACCAGCACTTATAAACTGTTAATCGGTCACTTTTCGTATTTGGTAACTATACTTTAGGAAACATCCAGTTTTTCCTCTACAGGCCATAACCTCTGCAGATAAACGCTGGTTTTTATGCAGTTTAGATCTGGTGAATTAATCTTCACCATGCTGTATGATCATAATCTGGATTTAAACCCATTCGAGCCAAACCACTGGTGGGACAGTGAACGGTGAAGGCATTTGGCTCCAATCAAAGGTCAGATCCCTGGAACAACAGCTGCAGCCGGCAGCCAAAACACAGTTTGGGGAACAAAAGCAGAAAATCCTCGTTCTCTAATGTTATGATCATCGTGGCTGTTCTCCACCGAGAGATCACACCGGTCTCTAGAAATAAAAAAAAAAAGAACCCATTCGTTGGACAAAAGCTAACTGTTAGCAGATTTAAAGTAAAACTGTCCGAGCCGAGGCCGGAACATCGACCCGTTACCCGCCGCGCGGCAGCTCCGGGACGTTCTCCAACACTGCAGCTTTTTATGTGTGGCTTCACAGCTGGACGTGCATGTGTGACAAGTCTCTCTGAAACCAGGGCTTCCCTCATCCGTGAGCAGCAAAGTGAGTTCCCAGTAAAAGAAAACGGCGTTTCTCTGCACTGAGCTGAGAAACGTCTCAGCAACCACATCAGCTGGCAGCAGTTCCTGTAGTGGAGTTAGTTGAAAAAGCCCTCGCAGTCAAACTGAAGACCAACGGCTGGAGAGCGTTTCTCGTCTTTGGAGTAACGGGTTTTCTCAGAATATTAACAAGTCAGCTGTAAATGCATTTACATGATTTACATTCATTAGAACTTAATCGGAGCAATAAATCAACAGAAATGATTATTAGTGATTTAAGGGTTTTCTTGTTGTTTTGTTTAGATTAGAACAGTCCTTCTGAAGGACGAAAAGCTCGACTTTTCTCCATCGGTGTTGACATTCCCGGCAGGTGAGGTGTTTTCAGACCAGTCACCTATCAGCAGTAGCAGGAACTAAAGGCTCTCATCGGTCACAGCGGATCAGTGGAGTCACCAGACTGGCTCACGGTCCGTTAGTCGGTGACTGTAACTAATTGCTCAATGCACTCAGATTTTCCTTGTGTTGCAACAGTTTCAGGTGCTGGAGAGGAACAGGAACAGTCAGGAATCCTCTCGCCAACCTAGAGCTCGCCACACCCCCCTTACTTCCTGCCTCTGCCAGACTCTTCCTGGTTTAGCTTCCTGCTAAGTTTGTGCCGATTCTGCAGACAACCTGCTAGCTTCTGCAGGGAAACCCGCACTGAAACAACTGTGATGAGATGGCAAAAAGGAAAGGCACTGGTATGCATGAGTCGACTTCCTGTCTTGTGACCAAAGGTTGTCTGAGTGGCACGGTCTTCCTCTGGACGCTCCCTCTGAGGCAGACTGGAAACCAGAGCCGTCTCCTGCGGACGGTGTCAGGTTGGTAAAACGAGGAGAGTCAACTTTATCCAAACTTGGTCCTTTTTCTTCTCTAACTACACTTCGGTTGGGTGATAAACCCTAATGAGATTATACATATCAGGTTCAGCTAAAGCTACATTTCACCCAAACCTGCTGGATGTTTAAGAGTCTGCAGAGGAAGAACGCGCGTCCTGGTTCACTTTGTGACATCGTAAACACAACAGAAGCCACCATGAACAGTGGCGTAACATTTCACATTAATCTGTTCAATAGATATGCTGATTCTGTCTTTTTAAACCAAAGAAAATACCCGTTTAAAACCAACGTTTAGTCCTCACCGGTTTGTCTCTCTGCACACAAACATGCTTAAAGGGGCATTATGGAAGTCAGACAGCCTAAACATGTATAGAAATAATAAATGTCTTCTTCATACATTCTCCTGCAATGCCCTGGTCCTGTAGAATGAGCCCTGGCATTATTACTGTGATTGCCTGTTTTTCTGTAAAATCACAGAAAAAGAGAGATGCTCGGGTCGAGCAGGCTGCTTCATGCGTGTTCACGCTCAGGCATCGCCCGTAGCATTTGCTATCCGTAGCTTTAGCAGCAGAGAGAGAGGCAGTGCCGCTTTGTCGCTGTTCCTACCGCCTAGTGACAAAGCTAGCTACATTTCTGAGGACCCTTAGCTACTTTCTGTAGAACTTTCTTCTAGATATTTCCTGCTAATTAGCAACAAAATAGCCATTTTCACTCCGAACCGTTCTTTGAACGTTGTTTCAGCTGTCATCAAGGATATAAATGTTACAGATACAAAGGATGTCACTGGTGCTTTAGCTCACATAGTAAAACGTCAGGCTTTCGTGCAGTGGATCTGGGTTCGATTCTGGATGTGAACATCGTTCATTTAGAGTTTATTTTTTACATTAGTGGTATATTTTTTACAGTAAGATGCCCAAATTTTTATTTGAGACTCGCCGAACAGCATTGAATTCACAGATAAAAAAGATGTGGGTTCAACTTTCATTTTGGAACAATTTTTCAAGCAAGGGAAGGGAATGATCTGAGCATGCAGGAGGACTGACCCATCATAAACCTTTGTCGGCTGTGCTGAAGAGAAAGGTACAGAACCACATTATTTAATTAATTAGCTGTGCGTTCTCCTGTCCTCCGCGACACACACACACACACACACACACACATTAGCTGTGCGTTCTCCTGTCCTCCGCGACACACACACACACACACACACACACACACACACACACACACACACACACACACACACACACACACACACACACACACACACACACACAGAACTGTCTCAGCTGTTATTTTCGTTAAGGAGTGTGCACGTACAGCATGCGCGCCTCGTGCACGAGTCTACTATTGAAGCTGCCGTCACGCTTTTGGCCTGAGGGGGCGATCACGAGCATAAAAATTCAAAACTCCGTAAAGTTCCTTTAAACTAAACTTACGAGGATTTATTCTCTGGGGATCGGTTTGAGAAGAAAAGCTATTCAAAAGCTGCTGACAAGCAGAAACATGGTTTTGTGGTGGCGACGAAGAAAATCACAAGATTTACAGAAGACATAACGGCCCATCCTTCAGGAAATGGGTTTTGCTGACTACCAAAAACCAAACAGAAGGCTTTAGAAATCATTTTTATTGTAAGGTGATGAATTTAACTATGGAAAATGCATTCATGAGGATTGAAGCAGCAAATATTTTAGACATTTTGGTAGCATGACGAATGATGAAGCTGCTTCTTGACTTAACCATTTAAAAGTTGGGTTAAACCTCTTAAGATGAGATATTTAGAACAAAATGAAAGCATAACTTATTTTATATTAAATCTCTTTATCTGAAAGTTGCGTCCGTTCCTCCTGCACGCAGTAGCTACGCTGCTAAATAAGGAAAACAAGCCTAAAGCTGTGTGTCATCATCGAACAGGAACCAACAGCAAAGCCGGCAGCCGAGCCGTGCACAATGCATTCAGATAGTTATTTCTACAAAAATGTGAGTATTAAAAAATAAATCAGGAAGAAGAAAGAAAAAAAACATGAGCAAAGCCCCAAGGGTGATGGCGTTATAGATAATCTGAGCTAAACCCCGCCCAGCTCAACAGACGCTTCTCTCTCGTCAAGGGAACTTCCTTCTGAGTTTTCATATTTGCTCACAAGATTTTAGTTCTCTGTAGGCAAACGTCAGTTTAAAAAAGGAGAAAAAGTTCAACAAACTGGAAAAAAATGTTCCCATTTGATGTCAAAATCTAAATTTCTGACTTGAACAGACGCCATAGGACAGATTCTGAGGTACACCCTGTGGTTAAAAGCTTTGACAGCATCACAGGATTGCGTCATTCCTCAGCAGAGACCACATCATCATCACATTAAAGACCACAACTACCTTTGCACAGCTTCTTGAACTCCTCATAATCAGTCCCCGTTGCTGCTGGCACGATCATGGAGCCCTCATACACGAACGCAGCCCTGCAGGACAAAACACAGCTTTATAGTTTCCACATCTCAGTCACTAAAGGTCGCAATCAAGGCGCAGAAAATGCTCCAGACGTGTGTGTGTGTGTGTGTGTATGGACGTAATTTTCACTTTAGAAGTGGGGGAGGGGACACGGGGGTCTTTACAGTATGTTCTAATGGGAAACAGGCTTCAACACAAACGATTGTTTTCCGCTTGGTCCTAGAGCTCAACCAGTGTCAATTTAATATAGCGTAAAAATGTTTTTGGACGGTAAAACGTGCAGGGGTCAAAACTGGACTTTGGAAAAAGTGGGGGGACATGTCCCCCCTGTCCCCCCCAAAAATTACGTCCATGTGTGTGTGTGCTACAGATCAGTCATATCCCAGGGACAGGACTCATTCTGAGGAAAGGCGCAGGAAGAATGAATGTAGCGCGTTTTCTGTCGAGCAGCTGCGTCAAATCTGTGGTGTTTTTAAATGATCGCACTTAAATGCGCAAATGCGAATCATAAAATACGTTTCGTTGCAGTTGCCATTTACGCACTAAATTAACCAAGCAGTTTCATTAAAAAATTAACTAAATTAATTTAATTTAACGCAGCTGAGCGGAAACATAAAGTGTAGCTTTTAGTAAATAATCGTTTTGATTAGCATTTAGCCGCAGAAGCACACATCTTTGTTGTGATCTAACAGCTTTATGTGTAGAAGACGTTGGTTTTTGGGAGAATGACTGAAAGAGGCTCGATGTTAGCCGAACACCTACCAGCTGGTCTCCGTGGCATCGTCTCTCACGTCGTTGTAAGCCTCTCGGCACGCTTCTTTATCGATCTGAGTTGCCATTTTTCAGGTGAACGAGAGTTAATCGGTCAAAAACGAGACGTGGGTCGGTCCGGACGGTCAACGGGAACAGCAGCTAACTTGAACGGGTGGCGATGCACATCAGACGAAACCAAAATCACGACCACGGCGCCGGGGCGACTGAACCGGTAAAACTTAACGGGAGACGGAGGCTCCTCTATTAAACCCTCGGCTCATTTCCTGGATCTCTGGGCTTTATGGGCGTTGGTGTGGAGTTAGTCAATCAGGTTGCAAGAAGACAGACGCACAAGTTCCCCCAGACGCTGCCTTCTCCTCCTCCTGCCGGTCACTCGGCCGTCTCTCTGTGGGTCTACGTCAAGTCACGTGGAAAGTGTAAATACTGTTTCCGGTTGTTACTTTCAAAACAAAGTTACCACCAGACACTTGCGCCAAAATATAGTAAAAACCCGAGCGAACTCGCCAGATTTGGCAGGCTACCATCTGAGTTTCTACTTTATTTAAACAATCAAATATCTACTCAAGCATCCTTCACAAGGTTATTGTTAGTAAACAATAATTTACATTCAATTAGGCTGTATTTCCTTCAATTCAATTCAAAAATACTTTATTAATCCCAGAGGGAAATTGATTCATGCCTTAATTGACATTGCGTATGTTCAGCTTTTTCTTATATGAAACAAATTTGGTTCACACTTATAGAAAAATACACTGTTGTTAGGTTTTTTGTTTACATACTTGCAATTTTTTTATTTACTGAACTCTTTCTGTGGCAGACATATTATATTTGCTACACATGTTCTAGGATCTAATAATACACCTGTAAGTGTTTTATTAAAAAAAGCCCACAAATTGATCAATCTTACAAAAAAAGAAATTAAAGGGGTTTAATTTAAAAATAAATATTTTATTGCTTCTTCTATTAAACTGCATTTTGTTAACCCACATCTGCAGGGGAAAGTACACATAACAATTAAAGGGGCTAGTTGCCTATGAATACTTTATTGACTTATTATTAACGACAACAGACCTGATTTAATGTACGCAACCAAGAGAAAACATATGTGAAAGTTTAAAAAGACGTTTAGCTTTACTGAAGGTCAATGTCAGATAAATATTTGTCAAGGCTGGTTTTCTTTTGAAAACAAAAAGCTGTTTCCGGTTGCTTTCCTGCTAAATACTGCAAACATAATTTGGAAAAGCGCAACTGCAGTAATACTTTTTTTTTTTACCTCACTTTAAATTTTCAACATTTGTCCGCTTTAGCATTAAAGAAAATATTTTACAATCATCAGGTTGTGAAAATTAAGCAGTAACAACAACAACAGGCACAAACTAGTATTATCTTAAATCAATTAAAAAATGGCACCTTGGAGTAAAACATGCCAATCAGATGGGTTTCATGAGTGTATGAGACATGTAAAGTATTCAAGCAAACACTGGTCTACGGGGCTCAAGGTTACATTTTTCTTATTGATAGAACACCAAAAAGTACCACAGCCACATTTTTACTCTTACTGTCTGAAGAAGATTTATTCTGCCATCTGCTGGATTATCAAAAACTTTGCATCCAACTCGGAAAACTGGTCATTTGTATTTATATTAAACTGGAGCCAACAATTTTGAGAGCAAACGCATTTAATCTGCACAAAAACAGTCAGATGTTGTTATCTTGTAAACATCGTAACACCAACATAAACAAAACAAAGATAAATGACATCTTCAAAGGACATTTTTGGGCCAGTTGCCTCAATTTAGAATGAAAGTATTAACCTCACACACCTCTAAATGTTTCAGTGATTGCTTTTTAACTAAGTCTTTTAACAATTTCCTCCCTTCATCATCAATTAGACGCGATGTAATTTGCAAACACTCCAAAACATTAAGATTGCTTTGATGTGATAGTTGATGGGTTAATAATGGAGCTCAATGGTGATAAACCTCTGCAGGTGTAGCTCTTTTACCTGTCCTGTTTGTCTAGTTTAGATCCTGCTGAGGAGTAAATGTGTAACATTTAAAATAATTCACATGTTCTTAAGAGGGGATTTACTAATATTCTGCTCTGTGAAATCCTCAGGACCCCATGTGCAAAACACAAATATGTATTGTACTGAGTCTAACACGACAAATTAAAACAAATGATTTGTTTTATAATATAGTATAACAACTACATTTATGACCATTTGAAATATAAACAAATCTCAGAAACACAGTTTACATGTAAAACTACTTGGGAAATTTCACACACAACCATCTTCTAATGCGTTGAGGTCAACAGGTCAATAACCTGTTTAATCTGTAACATTTAATAAATCCCTCATCTATGATATTTAGCCTCCTTCTATTAAAAATGAAGTTCAATTACAACACCATTTAGTGTGGCTGTATCACGTGATTTGTCATTTTTAAACGTTTTGTAACATTTCTTCTCTTGAACGTACATTCAAACAGATGATTTTTTAACCTTCTGCTTTTAATGACAACATCCGGTTAAATTATTTGATTTCAGAATAAAACTAAAGAATAAGTGTTACACTTGATGTTCTAAATATTTTGGTTTGTTTCATATGGAACCTTACGGGTAACAACATTAATGACAAAAATATAACAAGTGTGAGGTTGAGAGGTTCCGACTAGATATAGTCGGACTCACCTCAACGCATGGCTCTGGCTCTGGAACCAGTTTCCTTGAGAGGGGTTGGACTTTCTACCACTCTGGAGTTGCTCCCACTGAAAGGCGCTGAGCAGGGGTGGGCATACTAGTTGCCCCCATCTTGGTGCCTGTATGTTGGGGTTTACCCCAGTGAATGAGAGGGTAGCCTCCCTCCGCCTACGTGTGGGGGGACGGGTTCTGACTGGTCTGTGCTTATGCACCAAACTACAGTTCAGACTACCCACCCTTTTTGGAGACCTTGGAGGGGGTGCTGGAGGGCACTCCTTCCGGTGACTCCCTCGTTCTGCTGGGGGACTTTAACGCTCACGTGGGCAACGACAGTGAGACCTGGAGAGGTGTGGTTGGGAGGGACGGCCCCCCTGATCTGAATTCGAGTGGTGTTTTGTTATTGGACTTCTGTGCCAGTCGTGGATTGTCCATAATGAACACCATGTTCAGACATAAAGGTGTCCATATGTGCACTTGGCACCAGGATACCTTAGGCCGCAGCTCGATGATCGACTTTGTTGTTGTTTCATCTAACCTGCGGCCGCATGTCTTGGACACTCGGGTGAAGAGAGGGGTGGAGCTGTCAACTGACCACTACCTGGGGGTGAGTTGGGTCAGATGGTGGGGGAGGATGCCGGTCAGACCAGGCAGGCCCAAACGTATCGCAAGGGTCTGCTGGGAATGTCTGGCAGAGTCTCCTGTCAGAAGGAGCTTCAATTCCCACCTCCGACAGAACTTCCAAAATGTTCCTGGGGAGACGGGGGACATTGAGTCTGAATGGGCCCTGTTCCGTGCTTCCATTGTTGAGGTGGCCGACCGGAGCTGTGGTCACAGGATCGTCGGTGCCTGTCGTAGGGCAGTCCCACTGGACTGGCAGACCGGGGTGGTGGTTCTCTTATTTAAAAAGGGGGACCACAGGGTGTGTTCCAACTGCAGGGGGATCACACTCCTGAGCCTTCCTGGTAAGGTCTATTCAGGGTTCTGGAGAGGAGGATCCGTCGGATTGTTGAACCTCAGATTAAGGAGGAACAACGTGGTTTTCGTCCTGGCCGTGGAACACTGGACCAGCTCTATACCCTTAGGGGGATCCTGGAGGGTGCGTGGGAATTTGCCCAACCAGTCTACATGTGTTTTGTGGATTTGGAGAAGGCGTTTGACCGCGTCCCTCGGGGGGCCCTGTGGGGGGTACTCCGGGAGTATGGGGTACCAGGACCTCTGATACGGGCTGTTAGGTCCCTGTGAGACCGGTGTCAGAGCTTGGTCCGCATTGCCGGCAGCAAGTCGGGCTCGTTCCCAGTGAGAGTTGGACTCCGCCAAGGCTGCCCTTTGTCACTGATTCTGTTCATAACCTTTATGGACGACAGGATTTCTAGGTGCAGCCAGGGTGTGGAGCGGATCCATTTTGGTGGCCTGAGGATCAGGTCTCTGCTTTTTTGCAGATGATGTGGTCCTGTTGGCTTCATCAGAACGTGATCTTCAGCTTTCGCTGGAGCGGTTCGCAGCCGAGTGTGAAGCAGCTGGGATGAGAATCAGCTCCTCTAAATCTGAGACCATGGTCTTGTTTCGGAAAAGGGTAGAATGCCTTCTCCGGGTCAGGGATGAGGTCCTGCCCCAAGTGGAGGAGTTTAAGTATCTCGGGGTCTTGTTCACGAATGAGGGAAAGCTGGAGCATGAGATCGATAGGCGGATTGGTGCTGCATCTGCAGTGATGCGGTCTTTCACTCTGCGTGAGCATATCAATATTTTAAACTATAAATAAACAGAAGCAATTACTAATAACAAAAGATTACTATTCAGATGACAAAATTCTTAGATTTTTTTAAACCAGCCTGCTTTGTGGTCATTCAGAAGTTTATAATTCCCTTTATTCTGAAAATCCTCCAAACGGAAGTGCTTTACTTTAGCATGTAGCTAGACAAGCTAATGGTTTGCTACATGGTGTTTTTGTTTCCACCCTGTGTTGTTAAACTGTAGATAAACTAGTTTAAGCAGGTAATTAGAATTTTTTGTTGAGAAGTTTACACCGTCTTTTCTTACGTTTGTCGTCGTGGAAAATCGTCGCATTTTCAACAAAAATGTCCCAAATTACTTTGTTCTAACCATCGAAACAGCGATAACAAGATGTTGAGTGAATTAAACCAACCGCCCTCCCGCCACCTACACGTAAGCGCTGCTTGTCAAAGTTATTTAGAAATGGAGAAATTGTATATTTGCTTTCATTGCTGATGTTTTCCGACTTTCAGGACGAGATTGTGATTTTTGTGTTGGCTGTGTGACACCTGTGTGTGTACGTGTGATTAAAACCTGTTAGAAGCTGAATTTACCACATTACTATAAATCAAATGATGGTGATAAACTCCCTAAAACTACTCATTTTAGCACATTTACTGTTTATGGTCGTTTTGGTTTTGGTTTTTCCGTAGTGACGTCACCAGTAGGTCACAGGTCGTTTAGGTGAAATATTTGCCATTCTCTTAAAAATGACAGGAAATTGAGTAATTCTGCGTTTTTTCTTTTAGATTTCTGTCTGAGGGGACATAATGGACACATCGATCCGGGTGTCTCGGCCCCACAGGGTCAGTGAATCCTCCAAGGTTAGTGTTTACTCTCACACTAAATAATAATGCACCTCACAATAAAGTGTGAGGAAGTCATGCACCACGTGATTTTATTTGTGAGGCTAGAAAAGGCAAACAAGACAATAAATTACAGTTTTATTTTAACAAGTGAGAAAACTAAAAAAAAATAAAAATTATAGTTACATAGTAATGTGTGTGTGTGTGTGTGTGTGTGTGTGTGTGTGTGTGTGTGTGTGATGGGTGTGTGCGCTTACGTGTTCAGTCTCATTTAGTGACTGGTACCGTAGAAACAACCCATGACAAACAGAAAGGTTAATACTGGAAAAGCAACCGATAATTCATTGTTTTTATAGATTTTTCACTGTGAGGACCAGGCTGTGGAGGTGCTGCAGGGGTTTAATGAGCAGCGGCAGCAGAACCGGTTCTGTGATGTGGTTCTGGTCGCTAATGACCAGCGTGTCCCCGCTCACCGAGCCCTGCTGGCCATCTCCAGCCCATACTTCCATGCTATGTTCACGCTGGGCATGAGAGAGGAGCATCAGCTGGAGGTACACCAGTTACGTTTTTAGTGAAGGTTTGGAGTCTTGATGCTACTTTTGTTGATTACAAAAACAAGTAAGAAAATGTGATGAAGTAGAAAATAGAACGTGCTGTCGCTTAAATTAGATTTCAGAAACAAATCAAATCATTCCCAAATGGGAGCATCAGATTGATTGATTTTTATTTGCATAAATGTTATAATTATAGATGTCAAATTTAAAGAAGCCAGAAGTTTTAGGAGATCTGGAGGATGTTTATTCTCATGTGCCTTCGCTTTGTGCAGGTGGAGTTAGTTGGAATGTCTTGTATCGGTCTGAAGGCCGTTTTGGACTTCCTGTACAGCGGAGAACTGTTTTTAGATGGAGGAAACATCGACTGTGTGCTGGAAGCGGCGCACCTTCTGCAGGTAGGAAACTGTTGAGCTACATACTGCTTGAACCAGCTGATAGATGCAGCTGATTGGTGTTTTTAGCACACAAATATGTAAATATTGTTACTGAGCTCACAAACGTGTGTGTTGGTGTTCAGCTTTGGCGAGTGGTGGATTTCTGCTGCCAGTACCTGGAGCGGGAGGTGAACGAGGATAACTACCTGTACCTTCAGGAGCTGGCTCAAGTCTACAGTCTGGAGCGACTCGACACCTTTATTGACCACTTCATCCTCGCACGCTTCTCCACGCTCTCCTTCACCCCCGATTTCCTGCAAAACATTCCTTTCCACAAGCTCGCCTCCTACCTTGCTAGTGACCGGGTAAGACCCTTTTTCCTTCTCCTGTTTGTGCTGACAGAAGGATTTTAGCGGTTTAATTAAAAGGCCCCTGGTCGCTGGCTGTTTCAGGTCCAGCATGACAGTGAGCAGGCGCTGCTGCGGGCATCTCTTCAGTGGCTCCGCCAGAATCCAGAGCGAACCCCGTACGCCAAACCGCTCCTCTCCTGCATTCGATTCCCTCTAATGCCCGTGGGGGACCTTGTTAATCTGGTTGTTCCGGCAGAACACGGGAAGCAATCTTTGCTGCCCAAGGACGCCGGCTGTGACGTCCTGGTGGAGGAGGCGCTGGGGTATCACGCCAGGCCGAGCGCTCAGCCGCTGCTCCAGACCGAACGGACCTTGCTGAGGGGAGGGGTGGAGCAGCTGCTGCTCACTGGAGGAGAGGTATCTGATGCCGCGACCTGCGTTCGTTATGGTAGCTGGAGCCTTTAGAGTAGAGCTGATAGTGCTTCTCCCCTGGCTGCATGGTAAGGTGTATGAGCGAGGAGAGGAGCTGAGTGCCACGGTTTGCTGGCTGGATAGTGAAACAGGAAGCTGGGAGTTGGAGACGGAGCTGCCAGCCCAGCGGAGCCACCACTGCCTAGCGGTGCTGGGGGGCTTCATCTTCGCTGCGGGCGGCAGCTCGTCCAGGGACAACGGAGGAGACGCCGCGTGTAACCTGCTGTACAGATATGATCCGCGGCACAATCAGTGGACCAAGGTAGGGTTGTTTATGCATCTATCCTCCATTACTGAGCTCCAGCTCCGTGACAGCGGGATGTCTTTCAGGGCGCTCCAATGAACCAGCGGCGGGTGGACTTTTTCCTGGGAGCTGTGGGAGATTTCCTGATTGCTGTCGGAGGGAGGAATGGGACCGGGGCGTTGTGCTCCGTGGAAGTTTACCACCCTGCAGACGACTGCTGGTCCTACGTGGCACAACTACCCAGGTAGCGGCTGTTCTCCAGGCTTCATAAACAAACGTTTTAGTGGTTGCTCATGAATCATTTCAGAGGATTTAGTGTTTTTGGGCTGAACTCAGGCGATGAAGCACTTTTGTGTAAACACTTAAAAACTGGCAACAACAACAACAAATCCCAAACGTTTGTCTAACTGCTACCGGGTAACTTCTGCCCCTTAAAGGGCCGGAGTCATGATGTCGTTCACCTTCCAGAGCAACGATCGACACAGCATAGTGAAATATTACCGTCGGCGCTATTGAGATGTCATTTTTTTTGGAAAGAAAGTATTTTTGTGAGCCTTTCCATCAACTAGAAATAACAAGCCTGGATTTGATACACAGCTGCAGACCCGATGGCAAATTCACACACACACACGTCCCCCAGCGATTTTGCGAGTGCAACGGCGAGTTCTCAGTATCTTCTTCTAAACGATGCTACAGGAAAACGAAACCTTTAGCGTCCGGTTTTGGGTCCGAACTGAAACCGGTTAGAATAAAATGAGATTTCCTTACAAAGTTTTGTGAAATCCATATCTCACAGGTTGACTTATGGCCACGCTGGCACCATCCACCAAGGGGACGTCTACATCTCAGGCGGTCATGACTATCAGATTGGCCCGTACCGCCACGACGTCCTGAGCTACGATCCATCACGGGACGGTGAGGTGTGGGTGGAGCGCCAGTCCATGTCCCTCGCTCGAGGCTGGCACTGCCTGGCCTCCCTCAACAACCTCATCTATGCAATCGGAGGCAGCGACGATCACGCAGACACCACAGAGCGCTTCGACATCCTGCAGGTGGAGTCCTACGACCCCCGCAGTAACCAGTGGACCCAGGTGGCTCCGCTGCTGCTGCCCAACAGCGAGGCGGGGCTGGCGGTCTGGACTGGGAAGATCTACGTGCTCGGTGGCTACAGCTGGGAGAGCATGGCGTTCTCCAGAGTCACCCAAGTGTTTGACCCCGACAAGGGGTCGTGGTCCAAAGGGCCGGACTTGCCTAAACGTATAGCAGGAGCGTCGGCATGCGTGTGCATCGTGAAGCCATCCCCGCGATCGGCTTCGCCAGAGAGGAGGAGAGCAGAACGGGGAATGAAGGGAATACCGCATCCCACGTAGCAGGAAGAGTGAAGACCTAGAGCCTCAGAGAAACTCATGATTACCTTTATTAAGATGTTTAATTTGCTCTTTTTATCCGTACGTTTGACTCTTTGCAGGATCATAGCTAAAATAGAGGAAAATAACAAAAAAGTGCAAAATTTCTATAAAATCTGGTAAAATCAACTGGAAAACAATTCCCAAAACGTCCTCTTTGTGTTGCCATGATAACCGATGTACAGTTTAGGCATGGACCACTTTGTCAAAGAGCTGATCCGGCAAGACTACGTTTTATTCTTTATAATTGTACATTTTTAGTTCTTTTATCACAAGAGTAATAAATCCTTTCATCTGTTCGTACCTGACAACACTGAAGACCTTACGACGGTGCAGAGCATCAACGCATCAGATGAAAGTGCAAAATGGTTCAAACGTTCATAAAAACTGTGACTTTTTTTTGTATCTGCAAAGAAAACCCGAACACCAACAAGTTCAAACATCAGCTCATGAGCCGTGGCTTATTTTGTTACCGAAGGCTCAAATCAAACATTTTTCACCAAAAGGCTAAAGAAATTCATGTGTTCACTTCAAATGGAGTGTAGCGTTCAAATATCATGGGATGTGTCTTGCTGGGAACATTTTTAAGTGAGTGAAGTAGAGCCCTGCACGGGCCCGAGGGGGTGGAGCCCCAGCCCGACCCGGTCCGAAAAGGTTTTCAGGATTCTCTGGCCCGACCCGAGCCCGACTTTTTTTTTTAACCTTTCATAATGTTTTAGCGTGACAGGATCATCAGTGAGAAGCGTTCTGCAGTAAAAAAAACAGCAATGGATGCTGTATTTTTTACCTGCAGAGCGCGTTTATTCACAGAAAAATAGAATGCTGCCGTTTTCATGAGGATAAACGAATGTTTCTGACATCAAAGTGGACATAAAACGGCGTGTTAGAACAGGGCCACATGTTTCAATCAGCAGTTTGAGAATTCGTTTATATCGGCGCGTTTATAAACCACACACACCTTAACTGAGCTAACGGTGCGTGAGAAGCAGGCAGGTGCTGCTGCGTTCAAGTGTTTCAGTTTTTTTTAAATGAATTAGATTAAAAATAAAGGCGCCCGGCCCGGCCCGGCCCGGCCCGGGTCCGAGGTAATTACACAGCCGTCGGCCCGGGCTGACCCCCGGCCCTCGGGCTCCAGTGCAGGGCTCTAGAGTGAATTATTTTAGAACAAAACAAAACTGCTAAAATGGGACGTGGAAGAACTGTGAGGTTTTTAAAAACGTGTGAAAGCTGCAGAGTTGTGCCGCATCAGGTCGCTGGTTCCTGAGCCAAATCTTGGGTTTATTTTTGCACAAATGCACGTGTTTGATGTCTGTTACACATCAAAGGAAGGGATGTTTGCTCTGTTCTTAAGAAACTGTTTTAAATGACGTCTTGGGTTGTTCCTGCGATCAGCTTCAGTCAACCGTGATGGAGGTTTTCACATCTCACTCAAAAGGATAGTACGGATGAGTCTTGATTCTGGAAAACAGAATCACAATCATGGTTTTAAAAGCAGCAGCTTCTCCACGTGAGAGACTCATCACCTCTTAACGTACTCGTCGATGACGCAGGCTTTCCACCTTCGATCCAGACTCCTCAGGGTGTTCATGTCCTCATCGCTGAGGCTGAAGTCAAAGATCTGGACAAAAACGTGAGCTGTAGGACTCTAGGAGTGGATTTTCCGTCCACTGTAATTATGGAGAGCTTCATACCTTTGTGTTTTCAAGGATGTGATGAGGCTTGTCACTTTTGGGAATGACTGCAATGCCCTGCTGCACATGGTACCTCAGCAACACCTGGTGAAAAGCAGCCGACCGTTCTAAAACGAGAGGCCATGCACACAAGCTGCTCGGAGCTGAAACTCACTGACCTGCGCAGGACTTTTCCCGTGTTTTCTCGCCACACCTGCAACCACAGGGTCCGCCAGGAGCTTGTAGGGATCTGTGTCACCTCTTAACCTGAAGTGTTGTCAGTTGCAATGATGCAAAAAGACAACATGTGCATAGATGAGGTGAACAACAAACGACGATTGAAATCAAACACAGTTAACGGATGACATCATGGCTGAAGCTGTTGTGCAGTCAACACAAATATATAACCCTCAGGAGGAGGTTGCTTTCACAAATGCTCCATCTTACAGATCAGGGGGTCTTTCAGGCGAACCGAAGGGGCTGTAGGCCGTCAGGACGATGTTTTTGGATCTACAGAATTCTATCATCTCTGTCTGAACCATGTAGGGGTGGAGCTCCACCTGGTAGGAAGAAACAGACGGGGACCTAGAAAAGCTTCTTGACGTAATCACATTTTTTGGGGGGGGGGGGCAGTGCTGCAGTTTTAGATTCCAACTTAGACGCGATGGACACGTGAATCACCTGATTAACTGCAGGGGGAACTCTGCAGAGAGCCAGAAGCCTCTCCAGCTGCAGGATGCTGAAGTTTGAGACGCCGATGCTCTTGACCTTCCCCGAGGACCGCAGGGCCTCCATCCCCTGCAGACAGAAAACATTACAACTGAAAAACTTCACTTTTCCTTTTCCAGATGGACGAGCTTCAGTTTGTCATTTATAGAAAAGTTAAAATAATCTAATCAAGAAACTGCAATCATGCTTTTGATGAAAGGTTTTGTTAAATGTGTATTTCTGCAAATGTGATGTATTTAAATGAATTTGATTAGATTTCTTTTACTAAATTTGACATCATTTGAAGGCATTCTGCTGTAAGAAAAATATAAAATGTTTATTTCAACAATTTTCATTAATATCTTCAATCTATGTTTACTACAAATATAAAAAAAAACATCATTTTAATCACTTGAGTCATGAAACTGGCTGTTTTCTCACCCTCCACACATCCACATAGTCCACATCAGAGGTCAGGATCTTCCCATCCTTCTTCGGGAAAAGTTCGTCTCCTGTTTTCTGCAGAAAAGATGAAAAGGAACACTTTTCTTCCAAAGTTCGGCATTTTAATCAACATCAGTTTATATCATCACCTCCTGCACATTTCAGCATTTCCTCAAAGACGACAGACCGCTGCTCAAGCTCTTATTGAACAAATAGATCATAATGAATCGTTGTCGTGTGCAGCTCTGCACTGCAACAGTTTCCTGTATAAGACGCCTAATTCAGCCTCTGATTCTCGGATTTATGTTAAATAGAATTTTCTGGCAAATTTGTTTAAAACGAAAGATGAAAACTGACAGAAAAAGTTTTCTATGAAAGAAAGAAAACTGTCCCGTCGGTTCCAGTCACAAGAACGTATTTAAAGGTTTTGCACATCTCATTTAGACGTGTGAAGATTAACAGAAGAAGTGGATGCTGAACCTGAAGGCCGACAGGGAAATGCACAAGATAAAGATCTAGGTAGTCCAGCTGGAGATCCTTCAGGGACGTGTTGAGACACAGAGGGATGTCCTCTGGGGCATGATGGGTACACCACAGCTGTGAAGAAAAGCACATCTGGCAGCACAAATCTAGATAATTCACACAAACGCTAACCCAAAACGTCTGAAGTGTTTCCCCACCTTGCTGACGATAAACACGTCTTCTCGCCGGATGATGCCCTGATCCATTTTGGAGCGCAGAGCTTTCCCAATGTCCACCTCGTTCTTGTAGGAGAAGGCTGTGTCGATGTGACGGTATCCTGCTGCGATGGCGGTCTCCACCGCTCCCTGGACTGAAGTCCGCTGCAAACGAGAAGACTGAGGCAAAAAGTACAGAGTAACAGTGAGCGGGGAGCGTTTGGTAACAGATTTCTGCTTTTTCTGTCATTTTTCCACACGTCTGTTATTTTATTGATTCAACACGAACAAGTTCAGGGCTTATCCGCTCCAGAGCCTCAGATCTTTGTTCCACAATCGAGTAAAAATCTGCCACGGGCTCCATCGAGGCTCCAGAAGGATTTTTACAGCATTCAGTGACGTCTCTGGGGTCTGAGGATGATTTGCACCTAATTTGCATGATCATGCTTCTTTTCATATTGAACATGCTAAATTACAGCTTGAAGCTGAATAACTGGTGTCACCAGGATGCACAGCAGGAAGGTTTAACGTGTGCACATTCATCTGGGTTTCTCAGGTTCAGAGGTCACAGCTGCTGGTTTTTAAGCTAAAGCTACAAAGCCAAAGTAAATAATAATAATAATAAAGAAGCTTCTTAGCGGGCTCCTTCAGCTTGTAAAACTGGGTCCCATTAGAAGAAAAATGAGATTATTTTGTCTCACAATGGCTGTCAAGTCAGGAGTTTAAGGGGAAATGCGACAGTGATTCAGGGTCATTATCAAGTTTTGTGTCATTTTCTAACGTCTCGCTTTGCTGAGAAGCAGAAAAAAGCTTTGGTGATGCATTTAATCAACTTAATGAACTTTTAATTAAATATCTGTGGTTTTTGCACCGGATCTTAATGTCAGTAGGTTCTTCTATCTTTTAAATAACCCTCAGAAGTCTCACCAGCAACACCTTGTTTTAGAAGGTAAAGAGTTTAAATGTGAAGGGAGGTCATCGTTTCATCTAGACAAACAGAAAGACTGGAAAACTGACAGGGTTCTAGTTTGGAACAATATATATTTTATGGTCTTTGCAGAAGTATTTGATTTGTGTACTCAGTTTTTTGCTGTAGTTGCTGTACTTGGATCAAAGTTCCTCTTAAAGTTCAAGTTTGGGTTTGCAGATATCCGTGAAGGTAAGGTGCAGATGTCTGAGTGAGTTACCTTCCACGTCCCGAGGCCCAGGAGCGGCATACGCGTGCCATCGTTCAGCTGTACGTGCCTGACCGCCGGCGGGCACGAGTACTCCATCGAGTACTTTGAGCCCCAACAGGAAACAGAAAGTGTGCAGCACAAACTGTGACAGCTTTAGCCTTCTTCTTTTTCCTTCTCTGCTTCTGCTGTCCAGCGTCCTTCCTGATTTCACTTCATCTCTCGTGTTTCTGTTCACCTCCGACTCTGCTTTCAAACGTATGCATGTTCATTTCCTGTGTCTGCTTTATCTCTCAGGAAGTTATTTATTGGGCAATGTTCAGAGTACTTCATCAGCATGGAGTATTTATGAGTAAACACCAAGTGGGTAGAGGGAAGTTCCAAAGGTCACTTTTTTTCTCTCATATTGGCAGAGAACGAACACACACACACACACACACACACACACACACACACACACACACACACACACACACACGAAACAAGATGACCTTGCATAAATAACGGGTTGTTGTGGCATCAGTCTACCTTTAGAGGGCGGTGTTGTCTGCTGCTGCTCTTTATTTCATTATGCAGCAATATTGCAGCCATTTCTTTTATCATTTATGTTTTTTTTTTAAAGCTTGTTATAAATAATAACCCAGCTGAGCTGTGGTGGCCTCATGGAGGGGGCCACCGGCTAGCACACTGCTGCTAACCACTTAGCATTCTCCCTCTCCTGATAATAACGTTTTACCTTTTTTGCTACTACTAGTGTGTGTGTGTGTGTGTGTGTGTGTGTGTGTGTGTGTGTGTGTGTGTGTGTGTGTGTGTGTGTGTGTGTGTGTGTGTGTGCGCTCTGTCTTCTCCATCCCCAGTGAGTCGTGGAGGATGGCTGCTTATACTGAGCCAGGATTCTCTGGAGGTTTCTTCCTGTTAAAAGGGAGTTTTCCTCTCCACTGTCGCTACATGCTTGCTTAGTATGAGGATTGCTGTAAAGACTCTGACACTAGTCAGTGACTTGATGCAACCTGCTGGGTTCCTTATATAGGAAACTTTTTTACTGATTGGCTTAATGGCCTGACCTGCACTGGAGAGTTTACTGCGTGAAGCGTCTTGAGGCGACTCTTGTCGTGATTTGGCGCTTTATAAATAAACTTGAATGAATTAATGAATAAAAAGAATAAACATCCAGGGTCTCAGTGGCATCAGTTTGGCAAAGTGTTAATGAAAACGGCCAGAGTGAAACTCAACAAGCCCGAAACATGTTTGATGCATGCAGGATGCATTTAGTTCATGAGATGCCGTTTCACAGAGAACAGTGAGCACACACTGGTAGCATCAGCAGACCATCTGGAGGAGCCTTGTTCCTCATCACCTGTTAAAGCAAGACTCCCTGTGAGGATAACAAGAAACTGTCCACGTGTTCATCTCTGCTTCTGATGTCTGGGAGAAGGTTTGGCAAGCACACATGCTCCCTTTCTTTTGGAGTGGATGTGCAGATAAGAAATACTTTCATCAAGGGTATCCGAAGAGAGAGATAGTGACAGCAGAGGTCATGAATGCGTCCTTCAGGGATAGATTCACAACTGTTCTACTCACCAATGCAGCTCAGGATGTTGTTTGAGGTGACATCAGCAGGTCTTAAAAGGCCACTGATGTCATTCGCCAGATCATCCAGAGTTTTCTGAAAGACCATTTCTGATCTTCGAAATAGTCTTTCAGTTGTTATAGTTTCTCCAGCTGATCCTGCAGTAAAGCAAAAATCTAAACCTGGACCCAATCCTAATAATTACAATCATTTTTGCATGATTGGTTTATTTCTGGATCTTTTGAGAGTTTTCCAGCGTGAATGACCAGTTTAAGGTCAAAGGTCAGACATTCTTCCTCAGGATTTTGTCCCACTTCCATTACTTACAGCAAGCATAGCAGCCCCAGACCATCACACCACCACCACCGTGTTAAACCATTCCAGGAAATTCCAGGTTGGTTTGGATTAAAAATTCAACACAGACCAACTGAAATCTTTGTGTTTATATGAGGTTGTCATCAAGTTCAACTAAAGCCTGTTAGGTAAAATGTGCGTCATGCAAGTTCACTCTGCACCAGAACTGGTTCAGACCAGATTAGATTCAAATGTAGTTATTTTTAGTTCATCACTGAACTTGGCTTTATTCAATTGTCTTTTTTTAGATAGATTAGATTTTTTTTAGCTATCAAAAAATGTAGTTTGGTCCATTATTTCTATGTTGCACGTAACTTTTACTACGAGGCGTGACTTTGTATGGATTGTGGGTCTTCGAAGGTCCTTTAGCACAAGGAAGAGTCCGCTGCAGCCGCACCGTCATGGCTGCTCGACATCCTCGTGCTTTTTGCACATTTTGCAACAGCCATTGAACTCCACTCGTGTATGTCAAAGTGTTTTATTAGATAACTATTGACAAAATTACTGACCAAGGTGTTTTGTATGAAAAAAGACAACTATAAAATAAAAATGCATATGTAGTTTAATATAATTAACATGATATACAGGTAATCTTTAGATGAAGAACATTTCCCTGCAGTCCAAAACATGCAAAAGTATCAGCATATGTGTGTTTCTTATCAAACCAGTCAGATATATTTCTCTGAATGCGATAAAAAATTCTGATTAATACTTATTTCTCTGCAATTAATATCAAAGAAGCATGCAAGAGTTACACAAATTGTATAAATATATATAACAAGAGGAGGTTAATAGACGTTGCCTGTAAAAAAATAAATACGAAGATATTCATCATCAAAAATTACATCTCCTGGAAAACAGCTCCTAAGCCCTTTGCTGCGGCGACGATGACTGTAGCAACAAATCTGTGGGTGTGATGGTCAGTCACACTGGTCCCAGCTCCGCCGCATCACTGGTCTAGGTCATTACAGTCGCTGCTGGGGGGTCGGTGGTAATGCTGGCAGAACTCCCTGATTCGAATGCAGGCCTCCACCATCATCTCTTCCGGAACCGTCACCACAATGCGGAAGAAGTTGGGATACTCAAACGCCTGTTGGTCGACAGAAAGGACAAGATCGTTTACTCGGTTTGAGCTGGAAGTGCCATAAACTCGTACCTGTTGTAGACGGCTTCCCTAGACCAATAATAGGGTCCTTTCAGGACTGATGAGCTAACGGCTAGTCTAAGCCTAGTTGCCATCAAAAGACAGCTCCAGTCTCCAATTTAATTGTGTTTTTGGGTTTTTAAGAACCTTTCATAGCACACTTATTTTGGGAGGAATGTAAGGAAGAACATTGCTTGAATTATAGGTTTAGCAGGGACCTTTTTCTTCTGGGTGGATCATCTGAACCATTGGTCCGCAAAACTGTCAATCATTACGGTGAAGCTTTCACACAAGGCCGTCGTCGTACGTGCTCTTTCCTGCACGTCTCCTTTAAGCCCCATGAGATGTCTAAGCTGCAGCTGTTACACACCTGCTTAGACTCCATCAGAACCTGGATGGTGGGAGCTTTCTTCAGCTGAATGAAGAGAAGACTGAGATCCTCGTCTGTGCCCCAGACAAGCTGGTTCCCAAAGTCAGAGACTCTCTTGGTCAGCTTGCTTCCCACACCAAACCTTCTGTCAGGAATCTTGGCGTGACCTTTGACCCAGCTCTCACCCTGGATTCTCATGTCAGTTCTCTTGTTGGCTCTTCCTTCTTCCATCTCAGGAACGTTGCTAAGCTGAGTCCCATTCTGTCCCGCTCTGAACTTGAGACAGTTCTCCACACCTTCATCTCCTCACGCTTAGACTACTGTAACTCTCTTTTCACGTGTCTGAGCAGAACCTCCCTGAACCGTCTACAGGTGGTTCAGAACGCCTGTGCTCGGCTTCTGACCAAGTCCTCCAAACACACCCACATCACCCCGCTTCTCCTCCAGCTTCACTGGCTGCCAGTCACCTTCAGGGTCCATTTCAAGATCCTGGTTCTGGTCTATAGGGCCTTACATGGACAAGCACCATCTTACATTGGTGATCTTCTTAGTCCCTACACCCCCAGCAGGTCCCTGAGGTCCAGTGATCAAAGCCTACTGGTTGTGCAGCACCAGGCTAAAGGTCAAAGGTGACAGATCATCTGCTGCTGTGGCCCCCAGACTCTGGACCTCTCTCCCCCTGAGCCTGAGATCAGTGGACTCAGTGGTCTCCTTTAAAAAGCAGCTGAAGACTCACCTGTTCAAGCTGGCTTTTGTATGACCTTCTTCACCTCTCTCTCTTTATTCTGCTCCCCCCACCTATTCCACCTTCCTCAGGATCCACTGGTTTCCCTCTTTCCTGTTCTCTCTCTCTTTCTTTACATTTTTTAATTACAATTGTCTATTTTTTTGCTCATTTTAATATATTTTTAAACATTTTCTAAATGCATTTTTATATTTTTATATGTTTTGTTTTTGTGAAGCGCCTCGTGGTTTTTATCTTGAGAGGCGCTATAGAAATGATATTTTCTTCTTCTTCTTCTTCTTCTTCTACTGCTCGAATAAGTGCTGCGAGGCTGGCAGCTACTTGTAAACAGAGCGTGAACGAGGATAACTGAGCATTCTCTCTCATGCACATTTTTTAAAAACGTGGAGAATTGGGAAACTGAAGATTAGAGTTAATTTAAGAATGTAGCGACATGTTTTGGCCTCAGCTGCACTCAGATTATCTGTAATCTGTATCATCAGCCCTCAAGGATGCAAACTCCATTTCTCTGAACAGAGGCCATTCATGGAGCTATCTACAGAGTGAAATGGTGATGTGTGTTATTTTGTGCTAAAAAACATTTAAAATTTTCAGACAAGTATCTTTAGAGGGCAAATGATGAGAGATGAACGAAGGATGACTCACCGAAGCCGGCAGACAGAAGACCGACTGCTCGGTCACCAGCCGCTCAGTGAAGTCCACGTCATCCTTAAAGTCGGGAAAACGTTCCATTTCAATCCCGACCTGAAATAATGCAAAGTTCCTCTCATCAGAAAGATTAAATGATTAAAACCAAGTTTTTAAACACTTCAATGTGATTTTATTTAGAAAATTCAGTAGGAAGAGGAACTGGAAGTTGTACAGCGCAAGTAAACTAGTGGACAGTTTCCTAACCCTCCCACTGTCTTCATGGGTGACCCCGCCAGGAGAGTTGACCACTGAGCAGGATTGGTGGTTGATAAACCTTCAATCCTGCTCAGTGGTCAACTGGGCGGGGTCACCCATGAAGACAGTGGGAGGGTTAAACTTAATCATCACCATGATGCTAAAATCGTGACTAACCATGAGGTACATGGCTCCTGAAGGCATGACGGGGTTCAGGCCGGGGACCGTAGACAACTCGTTAAAACAAATCTCCGAGTTTGACTGAAGAAGGAAAAAATAAAACATCCATTAGTCTGATGGTGCATGCAGCAGAGGTAAAAAAGGTTGAAACAGTCTGTAAAATATCTTTATGCTGTGTATAAGTAATGGTTACGAATGAAATGTTTTGCATCACATGGGCATCTTGTTGCATGTTTAATGATTTACGTTTGCAGCCAGGAAAGCCAGAGGGGTTGATGGTAAAGGTGAGCAGAAACAGCATCACTGCTAGAAGTTGTTCAAACAGAGGGGAGCAGCGGCTGATGCGTCTCTGTAATTCAGCCTTCTTCACTAAAGTCCAGCTCTGATGCCGAGTTACGCATCATCACTGAAGCTTCAAGGTCACAAAGAGTTTTAAAGCATCTGAGCTCCTGCATCAGGACGTCGACGTTACAGTAAAATTTGGCCTCAGCTGTTCGGTGTTATCTAATCGGATGTGTTGTTGGGTAAGAGGTGGGAACGTCCTGTGCATGTTCTCCGTTCTTCTCAGAACACAAAAACAAACAACCGTCCCAGCTCAAGGTCTGTTCAGCTATTTAAACAAACGTCTGATTTTCTACTGCACACTGGTGAAAAGTCACACTGAAGGAGTTTTCTGTACCTGCAGGAAGCTGATGGTGTCCCTGTAGAAGCGCTCAGGTGTGTTGTTCAGGATGCTCTCCAGAGCTCCCTGGACAACGGTGCAGGCTCCCAGAATACGCTGACTCAGCTTCACCAGACCCTGTCGAATCTGAACGGTGGGGAGTCAGAGCAACACATCTTCACAAGAATAAAGAATAATATAATAATAACGACAATATCGCACCATTATAAGAAGCTATCACAAACATTTATGTCACCGTATGAAAAAATGAAGAAAATATTCTTTATTTCTAATAACTACGATTTAATTTTGTTCATCAAACTGGTGGAAATGGGCTTCCATATATTTCTCCATCAGGATCTAATACTCTAATCTATAATGTAATTATAATTACTACCGTTAACATCAACATCAGCTGAAACACCTGGACGTCTTTTTAGAACGTATTTTATTGTGTATTTGACTATAAATAGAACTCAACACCAGTTTTCCTATCATTTCTTTTCTTTTACAGTCAGTGCGTTGCCATTCATTAACCCTTTAGGCCCCAGGCCTGTTTTCTTTGGGCCCTGGCGCCTCCCCATCGGGGGCCTTTGGAGTTTCCTGTCCCAAGTGTCAGTGATGGTTTGCGTTCCCCGAGCACAGCTACAGTCAAACCAGTCAAACCAGTTTAGACTGTAAACAAAGCAATGTTTGGTTTTTGATGCATTAAGATAAAATAATACTTGAACTTTATTTTAGAAGAGCTGCCCTGATGGAGGTTGTGAGTTCAAATTCCATTTAGGAAATTTAGTCAATTGTTTTATTTATTCCAGGGGTCCTCGACTAGATCTGTTCCAGGTTATTTTTTTCCAGCAGACACCAGAGAAGGTCAGATGCTCGTCTAACATAAAGTTCAAACATCGTCGTATCTTAATTTATTACTATTTAAACTGGCCATGTTTCCATCTGGGCTGTTTGGTTGTGGTTTTAGTTGTTTGGATAACGTGGACAGCTGTAGATGTTTGGGGCATGAAACTGTAGAGGCCCCTGATTGGGGGGTGGGGGGGTGGGGGTTATTCTTCTGAACATGTCCGACGTGTTGGCTGAAGAAGAATAGAACCGGAGATAAAACAAGTTCTAGTTCGGAGCAAGAGTTTATAAAGAGGTTAGCGAGATCCAGCTTTTATTTTGGTAACCAGCTTCCACTTATTGGAAAGCGAATTTGCATATTAGCTAAATGTTTAAGTGCCAGCTAAATATTTATTTTCCATGATGTTATTTAGCTCCACACTATAATTTATATTTTTGGGTCAGACTTAAATATTTATTTCTCAAATACTGATTTTGCAAACTAAATGTTTAGTTCCAAAATAAATATTTAGTTGGGATCTAAAAAAAATTTCGTAAAATAAATATTTAATTTACAAATTAAATATTTAGTTCCAAAATAAATATTTAATTAGCAAATTAAATATTTAGTTAGTGAATTAAATACTTATTTTACAAACTAAATATTTAGATCAGACCTAAATATTTAGTTTTCAAAATAAATATTTAACTACAAATTAAATATTTAGCTTGCTAACTAAATATTTATTTGGAAACTTTAACATTTATAAATGTATGAATAACATGGTGAAAATATGACTTTGAAAAAGTGAACTCCCAATTTTTTCTCTTATAATATGCTAAATAACCAAAAATATTGCTGTTAGATTATGACTGTTTGACTTTACAAATGGGACCCCATAGGATAGGATCCTTGTTAGAAAAGGTGACTCTTTGCAAACGTATTCTTTATTAAAAAGCTGAAAACAAACTAAAACTCTTTAATTAGGAACATCTGTTTTACCTCAGACCCAAATATGTTGTTCCTGTCGTGGATAAGGATCCATCCCATCCTCCAGCCGGGAACCAGCCAACGTTTAGCCAAACCGCCACAAGACAGGATGGGAACATCGCTGCTGAGAGAGGCCAGAGAGGAACTGTTGCATCCTGGGAAGACCTGAGGATGGCGGCAGGAGGAGGATGAAACTCAGATTTCAGATTTATTGGCCAAGTAAAATTACATTTACAAGGAATATGTCTCCGGTAGATGTTCGCTCTCTAAAACAGACAACAACCACAATAAATGAGAATAAAAATACCTAAAAACACATAAGAACATGTTTACCCACACACATGTTCATTTACACACACACATATATACATACCCACACACACGCACACACACACACACACACACACACACACACACATATCCATAAGCATACTGAATAAGTATTAAAAACTAAAATAAAAGGACGGTAGAAGAATCTACAGATTCAGGAGAGAAACTGTTCTTGTGTCTGGTAGTTTTTGTGTACAGCGATCTATCGCGTCTGCCAGATGGGAGGACGTTAATGTAACGAGGTCCAGATAAAAAATGTTGCTCTGTTTTTTAGCTTTAATTAAATCATTCACGGTTTATTTTACTGACATAGCGGCTCCAACTTAAATTCATAAAATAATGGAAATTTTAAATAATCGTGCTCGGACTGATTGGGTTTTGAATCTAACCAGGGTTATAGTTTAAGTGTCCTAATCGCTGGAAATCAAACAGCTGAGGTTAAAACAGAAAAACAAAACAAGTCGCCTAAAAATAACAAAACAGTTAAAGTCTCACTGAAAATGTCCAGTTCATTTTATTTTAGTGCATTTCTGCACCAGCGTCAACAACACAAAACAAGAAAGTGTGTTTATTATGTAAATAACTTCAATAATAACTTTGGATAACTGTAACACAAACATCAAACATGACTAAATCTTTCTGTAAAATATAAACAGCTGTGTGAATCGCATTCAGACCTTTTGTAATTCTGCTTAACGTGCAAGCTGCAGAAGAAAAGGAGAAAGGGAAATATGTTGCGTGAGGGCTCGGAGTTACCGCAGAAGTCTGTTTCCCATTAAAGCTGTGCTGACGTGTGGTGAGACACAGCCCCACGTCCTATTGGCCGAGCTGGGACGAGCGATGTCGTCCAATCAGCAGATTACATTTAAATCAGCCACTCAGTCATTTTATCATCCGTAAACGGTTTCATCTGAGTCCATATTTGGTTTTAAGTGTTATAAAAATCTGTGTGAGAATAAAAATCAGTTTAACAGGAAAACACACACACACACACACACACACACACACACACACCCTCTCCACCCCGTTTCTGCTGCAATACAACCACATTAACTACAAACACATGTAGTCAGAAAAGTGCAAAGTCATTCTGGTCTGTTCCTATTTACTGGGAGATGGTGGAATGTTCTGGTGGGAGATGGTGGAATGGTTCTGGTGGGAGATGGTGGAATGTTCTGGTGGGAGATGGTGGAATGTTCTGGTGGGAGATGGTGGAATGTTCTGGTGGGAGATGGTGGAATGTTCTGGTGGGAGATGGTGGAATGGTTCTGGTGGGAGATGGTGGAATGTTCTGGTGGGAGATGGTGGAATGTTCTGGTGGGAGATGGTGGAATGGTTCTGGTGGGAGATGGTGGAATGGTTCTGGTGGGAGATGGTGGAATGTTCTGGTGGGAGATGGTGGAATGTTCTGGTGGGAGATGGTGGAATGGTTCTGGTGGGAGATGGTGGAATGGTTCTGGTGGGAGATGGTGGAATGTTCTGGTGGGAGATGGTGGAATGTTCTGGTGGGAGATGGTGGAATGTTCTGGTGGGAGATGGTGGAATGGTTCTGGTGGGAGATGGTGGAATGTTCTGGTGGGAGATGGTGGAATGGTTCTGGTGGGAGATGGTGGAATGGTTCTGGTGGGAGATGGTGGAATGTTCTGGTGGGAGATGGTGGAATGGTTCTGGTGGGAGATGGTGGAATGGTTCTGGTGGGAGATGGTGGAATGGTTCTGGTGGGAGATGGTGGAATGTTCTGGTGGGAGATGGTGGAATGGTTCTGGTGGGAGATGGTGGAATGGTTCTGGTGGGAGATGGTGGAATGTTCTGGTGGGAGATGGTGGAATGTTCTGGTGGGAGATGGTGGAATGGTTCTGGTGGGAGATGGTGGAATGGTTCTGGTGGGAGATGGTGGAATGGTTCTGGTGGGAGATGGTGGAATGTTCTGGTGGGAGATGGTGGAATGGTTCTGGTGGGAGATGGTGGAATGTTCTGGTGGGAGATGGTGGAATGTTCTGGTGGGAGATGGTGGAATGGTTCTGGTGGGAGATGGTGGAATGGTTCTGGTGGGAGATGGTGGAATGTTCTGGTGGGAGATGGTGGAATGGTTCTGGTGGGAGATGGTGGAATGGTTCTGGTGGGAGATGGTGGAATGGTTCTGGTGGGAGATGGTGGAATGTTCTGGTGGGAGATGGTGGAATGGTTCTGGTGGGAGATGGTGGAATGGTTCTGGTGGGAGATGGTGGAATGTTCTGGTGGGAGATGGTGGAATGGTTCTGGTGGGAGATGGTGGAATGGTTCTGGTGGGAGATGGTGGAATGGTTCTGGTGGGAGATGGTGGAATGTTCTGGTGGGAGATGGTGGAATGGTTCTGGTGGGAGATGGTGGAATGGTTCTGGTGGGAGATGGTGGAATGTTCTGGTGGGAGATGGTGGAATGTTCTGGTGGGAGATGGTGGAATGGTTCTGGTGGGAGATGGTGGAATGGTTCTGGTGGGAGATGGTGGAATGTTCTGGTGGGAGATGGTGGAATGTTCTGGTGGGAGATGGTGGAATGTTCTGGTGGGAGATGGTGGAATGGTTCTGGTGGGAGATGGTGGAATGGTTCTGGTGGGAGATGGTGGAATGTTCTGGTGGGAGATGGTGGAATGTTCTGGTGGGAGATGGTGGAATGGTTCTGGTGGGAGATGGTGGAATGGTTCTGGTGGGAGATGGTGGAATGTTCTGGTGGGAGATGGTGGAATGTTCTGGTGGGAGATGGTGGAATGGTTCTGGTGGGAGATGGTGGAATGTTCTGGTGGGAGATGGTGGAATGGTTCTGGTGGGAGATGGTGGAATGGTTCTGGTGGGAGATGGTGGAATGTTCTGGTGGGAGATGGTGGAATGTTCTGGTGGGAGATGGTGGAATGTTCTGGTGGAATGTTCTGGTGGGAGATGGTGGAATGGTTCTGGTGGGAGATGGTGGAATGTTCTGGTGGGAGATGGTGGAATGTTCTGGTGGGAGATGGTGGAATGGTTCTGGTGGGAGATGGTGGAATGTTCTGGTGGGAGTTGGTGGAATGTTCTGGTGGGAGATGGTGGAATGGTTCTGGTGGGAGATGGTGGAATGGTTCTGGTGGGAGATGGTGGAATGGTTCTGGTGGGAGATGGTGGAATGGTTCTGGTGGGAGATGGTGGAATGGTTCTGGTGGGAGATGGTGGAATGGTTCTGGTGGGAGATGGTGGAATGGTTCTGGTGGGAGATGGTGGAATGGTTCTGGTGGGAGATGGTGGAATGGTTCTGGTGGGAGATGGTGGAATGGTTCTGGTGGGAGATGGTGGAATGGTTCTGGAGAGAGATGGTGGAATGGTTCTGGTGGGAGATGGTGGAATGGTTCTGGTGGGAGATGGTGGAATGGTTCTGGTGGGAGATGGTGGAATGGTTCTGGAGAGAGATGGGCGGGGAGGCAGATGCACCCAGCAACCCTGACTCTACAGCTTTCTACCCTCCACCAAAAAGAAGCCAGACTTTCATTATTCTGGACCGGGCAGATCGATTCACAGCTTTTTGACTCGGTTTGAGAATGGGCTGAAACACAAGCGTTGATTGAAAGATTTATTCCTCCTCCTTCTTTGTCACATTTTTGTTTTTAAAGTGGTCTAGATCAATAGTTCTTATTGCATCTTTAAGTTAGTCTTTAGACCTAGCTTCATTTGTAGCGGTTTCTAGTACGAATGAATGCCTTGTACAGTTGTGGTCAGAGGTTTACATACACTTGTAAAAAATATAATATAATGGCTCTACTGAGTGTCCCGTTATTTCTAAAACTCTGATTTTTCTCTGATAGAGTGATTGGAACAGATACTTCTTTGTCACAAAAAACATTCATGAAGTTTGGTTCTTTAATGTCTTTATTATGGGTTAACAGAGAAAAGTGATCACATTTGCTGGGTCACAAATATACATACAGCAGTGCTAATATTTGGTTACATGTCCCTTAGCCATTTTCACTTCAATTAGGTGCTTTTGGTAGCCATCCACAAGCTTCTGGCAAGCTTCTGGTTGAATCTTTGACCACTCCTCTTGACAGAATTGGTGAAGTTCAGTTAAATTTGATGGCTTTCTGACATGGACTTGTTTCTTCAGCACTGTCCACATGTTTTCAATGGGGTTTAAGTCAGGACTTTGGGAAGGCCATTCTAAAACCCTTATTCTAGCCTGATTTAGCCATTCCTTTACCACTTTTGATGTGTGTTTGGGGTCATTGTCCTGTTGGAACACCCAACTGCGCCCAAGACCCAACCTTCGTGCTGATGATTTTAGGTTATGTTGAAGAATGTGAAGGTAATCCTCCTTCTTCATTATCCCATTTACTCTCTGTAAAGCACCAGTTCCATTGGCAGCAAAACAGCCCCACAGCATAATATTCCCACCACCATGCTTGACTGTAGGCATGGTGTTCTTGGGGTTAAAGGCCTCACCTTTTCTCCTCCAAACATATTGCTGGGCATTGTGGCCAAAAAGCTCGATTTTTGTTTCGTCTGACCACAGAACTTTCCTCCAGAAGGTCTTATCTTTGTCCATGTGATCAGCAGCAAACTTCAGTCGAGCCTTAAGGTGCCGCTTTTGGAGCAAGGGCTTCCTTCTTGCACGGCAGCCTCTCAGTCCATGGAGATGCAAAACACGTTTGACTGTGGACAATGACACCTGTGTTCCAGCAGCTTCTAATTCTTGGCAGATCTGCTTTTTGGTGATTCTTGGTTCACTCTTTACCCTCCTGACCAATTTTCTCTCAGCAGCAGGTGATAGCTTGCGTTTTCTTCCTGATCTTGGCAGTGATGAAACAGTGCCATGCACCTTGTACTTACAAACAATTGTTTGCACTGTTGCTCTTGGGACCTGCAGCTGCTTTGAAATGGCCCCAAGTGACTTTCCTGACTTGTTCAAGTCAATAATTCGCTTTTTCAGATCCATGCTGAGCTCCTTTGACTTTCCCATTGTAGCGTTTGTGGGCGCTTGTATCCAATGAGCCCTATTTACCTGGCCTAAGAGAAGTCACCCGCTGTAGTCACTCATAATCACTCACAAGAAGTTAAGAGGCCATGCTATGAAGCTCAGTTCACTGACACGTTTCTAAGTCACCAAAATTGCTAGTTCATGTTGCTGTATGTATATTTGTGACCCAGCAAATGTGATCACTTTTCTCTGTTAACCCATAATAAAGACATTAAAGAACCAAACTTCATGAATGTTTTTTGTGACAAAGAAGTATCTGTTCCAATCACTCTATCAGAGAAAAATCAGAGTTTTAGAAATAACGGGACACTCAGTAGAGCCATTATATTATATTTTTTACAAGTGTATGTAAACCTCTGACCACAACTGTAAGTCATTCTGGGGGTGGGGGAGTGGGAGGGTGTATACCAGTGCACTATTTCCAGGTGCTAGCAGTGACTCGGAACACAGCCGAGCTTCAAGCCCAATCCCAATACTCACACTTGCACCCTTCAGTTGCATGGTATCCCGATCCTCAGTGCAGAGGTTGACCAAGCCTCTTTTGCACCCTTGATGCAGACTTGGATCATTACCCACAATCCATTGCTGCGTGGGACTTTTGAGAAGAAGGTGGAACAATAACTCAAGTGCCTTTTCTCAAAATATGAATTTTCAAAACGAAGAAGTTCATTTTGAGATGATTAATGACATTCATTCATGCTCTGAACGTTATAGATTTAATGTGAACAGAAGGCCGTAGAGCGCAGGGCGAGTTCTGGGACTGGGCCTCAGACGGAAGGTTTTTGAGTCTAACTCTGATATTTGGACATCTCGCCCCTGACTGGCTAACAGCAACACAACTCTACCACTGATGTTGATGTTTTATCTCCACCAATAACACAAGCCTGGAGCAGCTTCTGCCATGTGGTGGTGAAACTGCTAATGCTAATAGTTAGCCTCTGCTAGCCGAGACGTTCTCTGCTGTTTCCTGGACGCTAAATCAACAACAGCCTTCCCCGTCATTAGTCCAGATGGGTGAGTCCATGAATATTAGTGACAGGGTGACGTAGATCTGTCAGGATTTTTTAATCCTAGAGTTTCCCCGTCTGTTTTCTGTCAGAAGCTACTGCAGGAGACAGGTGTAGGAGACTATCTTCATGTTCAGCCTGCATGAAACACTCAGTTACTGATTATAATCAGAAATAATCATTAAAAAATGTGTTTCCAGGGTTCAATACCTTGAAACTCTTTCTATTGTGTTCTTAGTTTTGAAGCAAAGTTATTTATATTTTGCTGACTCATGAATCAGAAAATCCTACAAAAACACCTGAAGTCAAACGTGTTCCTTAGACAGGGCGTCTGTTTAAAGCAACTGGATATGTTTTCTGTCCAGACATAGGCCTGTGTGGGTTGCCATGGTGACAGCATCAGGGTCAGGGTCTGTTATCAGTGGTTTCCAAATGGAGGCTGGTCGTGCATTACGGGTTTGTAGGTGCTGCTGGGTCAGTAAAAGCTTTAGAGTTAAGGCGTGATATTAAACTGAACCAAATCACTTTTTAAGTGGAAAACTGCTGTTCTAACCTAGACGTCCTTTTCTGCACTGTTCATTTCACCGACAGCGTGCAATACTTCAGAGCTTGTGAACGTGTGTTTGCACGTCTCTGCAAATGTTTGCATGACCTTCAGCTATTCCAACTTTATCAAGGCTAACAATAAAGTGTCGAATGACCCTTTTTTTACAGTTAACCCCTCGTGCATGAACCGTTTCACTGCCACCTGGTTTCTAAACTTTGTTTGATCATAACAACTAAAAGCATCAAAAAGATGATGCAGGATGAGCAAAGCCTTGGTATAAAGCTCTATCACAGTCCACATTCCCTGCTTGCCCTCGCTAACCTCTCTGGCTCCCGCTCATCGGACTCATGGCCGCTAATCCTCCTGGATGCTGATTTTGAGGTTGTGATCCCTCCATCCAGAGCTAGAGCCAACACCACCAAATGAACCGCCGCCACTGCTGTCGCTGTGGGTGAAAGTGCGCCTCGCTGGTGTGACACACAGCCGAGACCGTTCCTGCCAAACTGTTCTGAGGTGCGATTTGTGTCGTACTCACCATGTCGCTGTAGATTTCATCTGCCAGGATGGGAACACAGTGTTTAGAGGCCACTAGAGGAGAATAAAGCTTTAATGATTATTTTGCCAGATCTCAAACTCTTTCTCGTTGAAGTAAAGAAGGTCAGAAATGCAGCTGACCTTTAAGGATCTTCTGCAGGTGCTCCTTTTTGAAAACAGACCCACACGGGTTGGACGGGTTGGTAACAATCAGACAGGACGTCCTCTCGTCGATGAGGCTCTCCATGTGCTGCAGGTCGATCTCCCACGACTTCTCCGGCTGTGAAACAAAGACGTGCAACAGGATGGGACTTGATCTGCGTTTTCATTTAAATTTAAGCCCGCAGAAAGAAGAATCCTTCTGTTTAAAACTTTATTATTTTAGTTACTCAAAAAGGACATGATATGACCCACGTGTGTGCGCTTGATTTATTCACCAGAAGTACAAAAATAACATTTCAGAATCAGGAAGTGATTTCCCTTCAAATATATTTAACAAATACAAAACTATTGATGTTTCGAGGGAGACACAAAGACGTGAGCCCAGCCTCTGACCTACCAGTAAGTTGTAAAGCTTGACCTTGATGCCCATGGAAACAGCCAGAGTTTTATATAAGGAGAAGCCTGGGCAGGGGACCAGGATGTTGTCCCCGGGGTTGCAGAAAACATTGATCACCAGTTCAATTGCTTGACTGCAGCCACTGGTCAGAATCACATCCTGAACAGCAGAGTGGGGAAACGTTTAGCTGTCATTTGGTAAGAATAAACTGATAAGTTAGTACAATTAAAATGTTTGCTGGCACAAACTGCTTCGTCTCCATATAGGAAGTGTTTATAGGTGTGACTGAAGAAGACTCAGCACCTCTGCCTGCAGCGGAGCCTCAGGGCAGCTGTAAAAGTTGGCCACAGCCTGTCGACTCTGTAAGTAACCTAAAGGTGCAAAAAGTACAGATGCATGACTCCAAAGGGTGGAAAATGTCAGTGAACGCAAGTTCTGCTGAAGACAGCACTGTCGTTTCTGCACGTCAACGCCTTTATTCATCAGAGCGACTCACCCACAGAAGGAGCATAGCCGTTGAATTTTTGGGAGTCGATGGCATCTTTCATGGCCTGGAGAACAGCATCATCTGTAGGCAGGTTTCCAAAGACAGTGGGATCTCCTGGAAAGCAGATGTGGTATTCAGAGATTGTAACAAACGAAAATGTGTCCTGTTTGCTGAATCAACACTAAACAGAGTCTTGTGATGAACCACAGGACACAAGGGAACAAATGAAACACCAGAAAGTTCCCACCGATAGAAAGTGCGATCATGGGTTTGTCTGGGTTTGGGGTGAGCTTCATCCCATCCACGATGGCCCTGATGGGGTTGAGCGTGTTGTTGGCCATCTCTGAGGGCTGCACGTCCCACATCTGCCGGCGGCTCTTGACTTTGGCTGGATACAAGCTGCCGTTCACGTTGACGTGGTGTATCCCATTCCCATGCATTCCCTTCCCAGTCACACCAGTCCCATTCAGGGGTTTGGGTTGGATGGCAGATTTGCCATGGACTCTTTTGTCATTCATCTGAACCACGTAGGCCTTGTTGTCCATCCGGAACTGATGATGCATAAAAAAAGATAATCTGGTCATTAAATTGCTTAACATTGATAAGCTGAGTCTAACCTGCTACTGGAGAGGCTGAGAGACTGGGTCGGCCTATCAGGATCTGCTCTGGAGTGGTTCCCCTCTTATCTCTCTGAGCGCTCCTTTTCTGTGGCCGTCTCCAAGTTTAGGTCCTCCACCACCTCTCTTACCCATGGTGTCCCACAAGGTTCTGTGCTGGTGCCTCTGCTCTTCCTCCTCTATCTGCTTCCTCTTCAGCACATCCTGAGCTCCTTCAAAGGAATCTCCTACCATCTTTATGCAGATGACATCCAACTGTACATCTCCTTTAAGCCCCATGAGATGTCTAAGCTGCAGCTGTTCCACACCTGCTTAGACTCTATCAAAACCTGGATGGCTGGGAGCTTTCTTCAGCTGAATGAAGATAAGACTGAGATCCTCATCTGTGCCCCAGACAAGCTGGTTCCCAAAGTCAGAGACTCTCTTGGTCAGCTTGCTTCCCACACCAAACCTTCTGTCAGGAATCTTGGCGTGACCTTTGACCCAGCTCTCACCCTGGATTCTCATTTCAGTTCTCTTGTTGGCTCCTCCTTCTTCCATCTCAGGAACGTTGCTAAGCTGAGTCCCATTCTGTCTCGCTCTGAACTTGAGACAGTTCTCCACACCTTCATCTCCTCACGCTTAGACTACTGTAACTCTCTTTTCACGTGTCTGAGCAGAACCTCCCTGAACCGTCTACAGGTGGTTCAGAACGCCTGTGCTCGGCTTCTGACCAAGTCCTCCAAACACACCCACATCACCCCGCTTCTCCTCCAGCTTCACTGGCTGCCAGTCAACTTCAGGGTTCATTTCTAGATCCTGGTTCTGGTCTATAGGGCCTTACATGGACAAGCACCATCTTACATTGGTGATCTTCTTAGTCCCTACACCCCCAGCAGGTCCCTGAGGTCCAGTGATCAAATTCTACTGGTTGTGCAGCACCAGACTAAAGGTCAAAGGTGACAGATCATCTGCTGCTGTGGCCCCCAGACTCTGGACCTCTCTCCCCCTGAGCCTGAGATCAGTGGACTCAGTGGTCTCCTTTAAAAAGCAGCTGAAAACAGGCTGGCTTTGGTGCGACCTTCTGCTGATTCTTCATCACTACCTTCTCCTCATTCTGTCTTTCTTGTGATACAGTGATTATCTTTTTTTTTTAAATTTGTCTTCCTTCACATCTTTTCATCTAAAATGTACTTTTTTCCTCATTTTTATTATGATATACTTTTAAAATCATATTTTATTTTTAGTTCTTGTGAAACGTTAATCCTTTCGCTTGCAGGTCAACTTCTTTATATTTTGTCTTCATATGTTAATGAGACTTAACTGAAACTACACGCTTCGGATAATGTGTATACATCATTAATGCTTATGTTGCGCCCTTGTAGATGTTGTGAGGAGTAACATAAGGATTGCATGAGAGGGTAGGTGGTAAATTACCAGCATTTTAAGTCATCTAGGGAAGTAGTAACTAAAGAAGGGGAGGCTGAAATGTTCTGACTAAGAAAAGAGACAGCTACTAGCACCAATAATTAGGAAAATCAACTCAAAACACCTGAGAAACAGCAGCCAGTAATCAAATAATTGGGTTTAATTTGATCTCTTTTTGGATGATGATGCTCACTGTCTTCACCTTTGTGTCAAACTGAACCTACGCTGCACAAAAAAATTCATCAGCACCAACTTGCATGATCAAGCTGACTCTTATCCATCTTGGTTCATCATCTGTATTCATTCATCCTCTAACAGCTTTGGAGAAGAAGAAAAATAATCCTTACCTCATAAAACAATCAGCACAAAGTCTCCAGAATCCAGAGCAGGTCAGTAACTCCTAAACCAAATGTCCAAAAGGGAGATTCAGGACGTATGTATAGCCTATAGATGATGTTTTATAGGAAGACATCCATGTGGGAGTTGAGCGCTGCCCAGGTTTCCATTGGTGGAAGCTGAGGGTTGTGCTATTGCACCCTCTTACATAACTAACCAGAACCACCTTAAACCATTAACGGCTGCAATTTGGAACCGTGGAGATGGAGGGGAGGAGGGTGTGCGGGTCTGGGCTCACGCAAATGTCGGGAGCTCTCGTTGGCTGCGCAGGGGGCGCATTGTGCGCGTCATAAGCCTCGCGGGGGCGCAAAGTGAGACAGCCTCAACAGCAGGAAGTGTTGTGTCTCTGCTTTAAATTAGTTAAAAGCTCGAAATATAATAATTATGATGCATAATTGCATAATTAACAAAAAAATCTAAATTCTTATAAGACTCTTCCTGCCTCAGAATGAGTTTCCAGGATTTGGTCAGCACGCAGACCTCTGATGATCTAAACAGTCCACAAAAATGTTGTTTTTCATTTTTTAACGAGCTTTCCCCTAAATAAAAAAGCTCGTCCTTAAACCTCCAGCGTTACAAGTTACATGAGTTTTCTATCCGGATCAGAGAAACTGTGATGATGTTGTTGAATTGTCTAACGGCTGCGGAGCTGTTATGACCTCCAGATGTTGTGCAACGTGTGACACAGCTGGAGATGACTCCGGGATGAAGGTCTAAACAAACACGAGCCTACCTGGTGAATAATTACAAGACATAAAAGCTCGAGTACGATTAATATAATAAAAGGTTCATTTCTGTTTCAAGACAGAGGCAAACTCAATTTTATAAAAAAGTAAACAAGCTGAATAACTTTTGTTTGCTGTTATATCTTGCCTAGTTTTTAACAGATTCAGTAATAAACATAAATAATTAGTTCCGGAGTTAAGATCACTGTGATACAAACACTTGTCCAAAAAATAAATAATGTGCAAATGTAGAAAGTGGTGCACAGTTTGAGAAAAGGGTGAGGTTTTATTTTCATTTGGTAAATTGTCGGCTATGACGTCATAACCTAACTGACACTTATGTCCACGTCAGACAGCTGGTTGGAATGACGGCATGAAAAACCAACATGGTGGCGGTCTTAGATTTCCTCTTTATAATAAAAAGTTCTACCTTGATGCTCCTCCCACACCTTGGAGCGGGTGATCTAAACCAATCACGTGATGGCATCATCAGTGAAGAGGGCTCTGTGATGGACGGCTCGGCCACACATGATCAGAAGTTAACACTGCCTCACCCCTTGAGTTATGCTCCATACATTCAAGCATGAGAGTTCAGAAGTCATCAGAAGAGGTCATTACAAGTCATTAGCGTCATTCTGCCCAAACAGAAAGTTATTTATTCATGGAGGTAACGACACAGTTGCTCTGATGGCTCAGGACGCAAAACATGTTATGGTTTCATGTTTGTGTGTGAGCGACTTGGTCACGCTGGGTTGAATCGATATGTCAGAACGCATTTGGGTCACCTTCAGAATCCACCTGAACACAAGCACGTTTGTGTCACCCTAACCCAGAGCAGACGGGCCAAGATGAAAACATTTACCGATGAAGAATATTTAAATGAAAAATAATTAAATACAGGCAAGTAAAACAGGATTGTGTTAAGGAGCAGGAATAATATTTTTAAAAATTACAATAAATCCTACAAGAACTCAATGAATGATGCAAGAAAACTTTTATATTATTTTATTCTAAATGGGGCTTTATTTGTTTATTTATTTATTTTATAAAGTTGCAAGAAATTATGGAATTCAAGACACACATCAGTTGATTTTTTAAGTTGAACTAAATCCGACAACCCCCTATGACTCCTCCTCACATGTGCTACAGGTAAAAAGGCCATTCTTATTCAACTAATCGTATTATTTATTGTCAAGAAGAGGCCCAATATGTAATAAATAACTCAACTTTAACCAAAACTAACATCTTTATTTTCAGCAGTTTGTCACAAAACTTGAATAGGAAACTTCCATGTTTTAATTTCTCATTTAACAGAAACTTATGTAATTGTTATGTAATTATTATGTAATTATTTAACCCACAACGTTTATTTAGTAAAACTTTGATCCCTTCCATTTAAACAAAGTTTCAGCGTCAGGCCAAAACGCGTCCAAAAAAGAAAGGTTGGCCAATGAGAGCAGGGGCTCGCGTAAACAAACACCTCCCGTCGACCGCATCAAAGGACCTCAAAACCAGTCTTGGAAATCCAGCATGTTTTTGTTGTTTCCCTGCTTGAGCACACCTGTTCAGCAGCTCATTCACCTTCTGACTGAAGTCAGGTGAGTTGACGCAGGTAAACAGATAAAATATATTTGTTATTCCTTTGGGAATCATAAAAAAAACTACTCTGTTAGAAATTAAACGTTTCTCACTAGCCTCTCGATAAAGTCACTAGTACCACAACTACACACTAAGCTAAATAAGAGTCAGGATACCTCTGGACTACATTCTCTGAAAAGCTGTTTATTTGGAGACAATTATTAATAAAAATAAGCATCAACACACACAAATCTCCAAAACATTCAGCCATCTTTTCTGGCTTGATTAAATAAAAAGATGTCCCTAAAAGTGCGAACGCGCTCAGTAACACACCGCTGGAGCATCTTTAAAAGCCCGGTGCATGACATCAGCATTCTCCAGACCGCTAAATGCTACTTCAGTAGAAAATAACATTTGCTCATTATTAAAAGCACTTAGAAAATTAACAATTTCCTTTTTAATCCACATTTTGATTTCTGCTTCATTTCCCCACCTTCACTGGTTCTTTAAGATGGTTTAACTGGTGAAACTGTGAGCGTTGCCTTTTGTGTGCAGGCCGTTTTATTCAAGGTCAAACTTCTCGATCGATGCTGGGTCAAAAACCGGTCCCCCGGTGTCCTGGTTTGACCTCCGACTCAAAGGACAGGCACGTCTTCTATCCCCTCCAATTGCACAGAGCACATTCATCCGCAAACACAGATAACGTTCCCGTTGACCTCCGTGTTGACCCTTGGTAGTTTTCCTCTCATGCCTTTTACGCGTCACCTTCCTGTCTGAGCTGCGCGGAGCCGCTGAGCTGATTGGCCGAATCAGGAGAGGAGACATAACTAGATAAATAAAACAGATGTGACAGGAGGCCTGTGTCGTGTCGGACCATCCGCTGACGCGGAGCTTCTGGTGTGGGCTCTCGCTCTTTTCACAAACATTGTGAATGTCGCTGAGCACCAAAGTCTGACTTTCATGCAAAAGCATCCTTCTGGAGTGATGTCACAAATACATCAACCTTTTCACATGATCTCACAGATGAGCTACGTGCTCTCGTACCCTAAAGAGGTCTTTTTTTTTTAGTGCACGGTTTGTAGTCGGGGTCGTAGGAAAACGAGTCGCCGCTGCTCAAAGAATCGCTCGAGAAAAGCGCGTTCACATCGAAGGAAGAATCGGTGTCTTCTTCCATCTCTGTTGCTCTTTCGTCATCACCGCTGCCTTGCTCGAGCGCTTCCTGCCGCCTCCCTTCTGCCGCTCGTAAACACTCCTGCAGGCTCAGCCGGGTAAGTCTCACGTACGGGGCGGACGGGTTAGCGGCGAGCGACGAGGGCGGTTTGGACCGAAGTGACTCGGTGTGCGATGTAAGATCCGGTTTGGTGGAGTTCTGGCCGTCGGCCTCCTGGGAGGACCTGTTCTCTGAGAGACTTTCATTAAAAGGTTTAGACTCTTTGATGAGGCGGTTGGATAAAGCTCCTGGGTTCTTCACAACCTGCTCAGCTGAAGATCTCCTCTTTAAAGCCAGAGATGGTCTGTTGGTGGTCGAAGTCAGGCTGAACTTTGTTGAGAGTGTGGAAAAGCTTCTCTGTGCCGGAAGCCGACAGCTGGAGCGAGCAGGAAAGTCCTGATTCACACGAGCGGCTCGGCGAGGCTCTGGTAAAACAAACATGGAGTCTTTCCTTCCTGATGTGCAGCAGTGCGCAAAAACCAGAGAGCTGGAACGAGATGATGACTGTTTGCTGGTAAACTTGATCACATGATGAAAACCTTCTTGTTGGGATCGAGAGCTGAGGCGGCTCCTCCAGAGGGAAGCGATGTCCAGCAGTTGGACCACTGGTGACATTCGAGGCGGTGGAGAGTTTTGTGATGAAGTGGGCCGTGGCAGACGTTCCATCAGAGATCCTGAGCTGGTTTTAGCTGCTTCTGGCACCTGAAGCTGGACAGAGGTCTGTGATGGTGGCTGATCAGCAGGAGAGGGGACCAGGTCGGACGGGGTGAGATCCCGAGATGAAGAGGTGGAGGACGATGACTGGAACAGCACAGGAGATGAAGACATGGTTTGATGCAGCAGCAGCTCTTCTGAGCATTCGTCTGAACATCCTTGCAGGATGTTTTTCACCCATCGTTGGTGTTTGGAGCAGAACTGAGGACAGGAAGTCGCCTCTCTACCACATTCCCTGCTTTTGCGATGACAGCTCCCGTCTTTATCGTCATTTCTTGCTTTGTCTTTCATTTTTATCCTCTCATCTTGCTCCTCCGGGGGCCGATGCTCTCCAGCATCTGAATCATCCACAAACAAGAGAGGACTCTCAGACGGATCATGGCCGGCTTCTCCGCCTTTTCCAAGAACATCTGGCTGAAGCTCAGATGAAGTTTCTCCTTCTCCTGACTTCGTAAGGCTCCGGTGCAAAGACGTATTTGAGAGCTGAGAGACTTCACCAGCTGGAGACTGAGGGCCACTGTCAGGCCAACAGGCAGAAACATCTATGGAAGCAAAACCAATCACATCAGTGGATTCATTTCTAAATAACTCCTTTCATTTACTCTGGTCACGGTTTTCCCCGAGCCTCTAGGCTGCATGAACCACCACTGGCACCGGACTTTAAAGGGACATTTCAGCCATGTTTAAGTCACGTCTGCCTGGCCTTAAGAGCCATCTCTAAAATGACAGCAATGCTGATATATAGGCAATGCACAATATTTATGTATATTAATGTCTTTTGTTTCTTAAAGGGACTTTACGGACTTTTGAATTTTTATGCTCGCGATTGCCCCCTCAGGCCAAAAGTGTAACGGCAGCTTCAACAGTAGGCTCGTGCACGAGGCGCGCATGCTGTACGTGCACACTCCTTAATGAAAATAACAGTCCCGTGTGTGTGTGTGTGTGTGTGTGTGTGTGTGCGTGCGTGCGTGTGTGTGTGTGTGTGTGTGTGTGTGTGTGTGTGTGTGTGTGTGTATGGCCCAGAGGACAGGAGAACGTGCAGCTAATTAATTAAATAATTTGGTTCTGTACCTTTCTCTTCAGCACAGCCGACAAAGGTTTATGATGGGTCAGTCCTCCTGCATGCTCAGATCATTCCCTTCCCTTGCTTGAAAAATTGTTCCAAAATGAAAGTTGAACCCACATCTTTTTTATCTGTGAATTCAATGCCGTTCGGCGAGTCTCAAATAAAAATTTGTGCATCTTACTGTAAAAAAAAATATACCATTAATGTAAAAAATAAACTCTAAATAAACTATGTTCACATCCAGAATCAAACCCAGGTCTTCTGCATGAGAGTCCAACATCTTACTAGGTGAGCTACACACTAGTAACATTCACAGTATCTGTAACATTTATATCCTTGATGACAGCAGAAACAACGTCAAACCAAAGAACGGTTGGGAGTGAAAATGGCTATTTTGTTGCTAATTTGCAGGAAATATCTAGAAGAAAGTTCTACAGAAAGTAGCTAAGGGTCCTCAGAAATGTAGCTAGCTTTGTCACTAGGCGTTAGGAACAGCAACAAAGTGGCACTGCCTCTCTCTCTGCTGCTAAAGCTACGGATAGCAAATGCTACGGGCGATGCCTGAGCGTGAACGCGCATGAAGCAGCCTGCTCGACCCGAGCATCTCTCTTTTTCTGTCATTTTACAGAAAAACAGGCAATCACAGTAAAAATGCCAGGGCTCATTCTGCAGGACCAGGGCATTGCAGGAGAATGTATGAAGAAGACATTTATTATTTCTATACATGTTTTGGCTGTCACACTTCCATAATGCCCCTTTAAGCTGCTGTAATGTTTGCTCCTGACTGCACTCGTTAACTCATCAGTCCTGTAGGACATAAAAAAGGCTATTCAGTAATGTGTAAAATTATTATTTACAACTTTTACACATAAACACACTTCAAAGTGGCCAAAATATCCCTTAAATCCAGTACAATGTCATAGAAGAAAACGTTTATTTCACGAAATGATTTTGTTTTTTAGTTAGAAACACGTTTCTTGCACAGTTTGTGCACTCAGTACATAGATATAGAGTTTAATAGGCAAATGAATTAAACAGACATGCATGAAAAAATTAACTCAGCACAAAAGAAAAAAGGACTATTCGTTAACAGACATTACCACAGACCTAAACAAGCACTTATGCTTGCTTTTTATAGTTTCTTATAGGGCGGGGCGATACGATCTATAATCAATATCACGATGTGTTGAAGATTTCACCTGGATAACGATAAATGGACGATAACTACGGGTTTGTGCAGAAACAACAGTTGTCCACTAGATGGGGCTGTCACATGTGTTAGGTTGAGTCACGTGACTCAAGGTGGTACAGCTTCTTAAAGAGCAAGTCACCCCCTACCAGAGTCTAACTCCACTCCCACTTCCTGTTTGAAAAATGCAACAAATGCTGTTGCCTGGCAGATCGAGAGGGCGGAGTCGCTAACAAATACACACACAGGCTCACAACGACATTGTGACATCATAATGTACCAGCTAATGTCATACGGTGCCTCTTTGCCAATAGCGATGGCAGATTTAAATTCAAATGCAGTGCAGAGTTTTTACCTGACAACGGCACAACACTGACAGTTTTAGGCAGAAAATTTCAATTTTAACTATGATTAAGTAAAGTGGTAAACTATTTACTGAACGTGTCTGCGGAGCGATTAGAAACTCATTTATATAGTTTATCAACAAAAAAAGTTGATTTGGGGGTGACTTGCTCTTTAAAGGGACATGAATGTTGCCAACCTGCACACATCTTTTCATTTTTTATTATCAAATTTACTGACATGGGAAAAATGATCACGATAAGAGTCAGAAATTTCGATAACGATAAAGTTTCGATTCATTGCCCAGCCCTAGTTTCTTACCACAGTGCAGCAGGTTCTTCAGTACCGATGCAATGGTTTTAGAGTCTGAGGTTATAACCTCCAGGAGTAACTTCTCCTCCGCTGTCACAGGACTTTGTTTCTTCAGTATCTGACATATTTGGAAAAAAACAACACATTGAGTCCATCCAATGGATCTGAAGGCCGTATGATGCTTACACACCTTATCGATGTAGGTCTCTCCTGATAGTGAAGCCTCCAGCTCCTGTAGGTAGAGCAGAACCCTGTCCTCTACTTTCTGAGCGTAGCGTTCCCCATACTGCTCCTCCATCTGGTTCTAGCAGGGGAAAAATATTACACATCATACAAGTATTAAAAGATAACTTACATTAAAATGAGGGGGATGCATGGGTGGAGACGTATTCCATCCACACTCCCTGTTAGGAAAACGCTTCTGAAAGAGGCGTGGCCTGGCGGGCCGAGAGAGCGGCACTGAGGCAGTGGTAGACCGCACCCCCGTCAACCCCCCCGCGTGCGTTGTCGGAGTTTCTCAATCTAAAAACGAGTTGTTAGAGAGCGTGTGCGCACTCGCACGAGACTTACCGCTCAGGAGAAGAGCAGACACAGATTCTGCAGCACTCTGGAGGATTTCCTGTTAACCGCGATCATTAGATGAAAAGGGGGAGGAGGGATTTTTTTTCAAGGAGGCGAGCGGCTCAGAGCGCTAAACGTGTCATATCGGCAGGTGAGTGGCTGAGCCAGGTGGAGGTGCGGCTGCCTCACCTGGAGACCGGTGCGGTGCAGCCACGTAGTAATTTGCTGATAACGTCACGTTTTCCAGCTTAGCCATCGGCCACAGCTGGTTCTACATGAATGCGGAGCAGAGATTAACCTGAAGATGGAGATGGAATTATGGTTTTGGGCTGAAATATTACATTCAAACTAAGTTGCATTAAACTGCCACACTAATGATTACGCACGTGTACTACAGCATCATTAGACACGCATCTGTGCAGGTTATCAGCAAAACCAAGTTCATTTAGGCTTTACTTGCTCTTTAACCAAGAATTTTAGTGTTGCACTGAATAAGGATGGAAGTTATTTCATCGTGTAAGTTGTGTGATAACACCCAAGGAGATTGTTTTTAAAAAAAAACAACAACAATATTTTCCTCTTAATTTTTTTAAAAAGTAAAAGTGCAGTTTTAGAAGTTGTAACGACTAACTGAATAGCACAAAACGACTAAGGTGTTGAGTAAAGACACAGTTCTGTTTTGTTTTGTGCAAATTTTAACCTTAAAGTACAGAAATTTGCTTTTGGATATTTTTCTGAACTCTTTTCCAACAATGCTGCACATTTTAAAATGAACATTCTTCTATGTTTGTCCACATTACACCAACATCCGTGATGGGTCTGTTTATAGCTGTAGCGCCCCCAGCTGGACAGATGAAATTTTGCACCTAGGAAATAAGAAAGTGAGGTTATTTATTTCTAATAACAATTAATCAATAATAAAATAACACTAGGAAAAAGCTTCAGATGAAAACAGGTATTTCTAATGTCTGAAAATCAGACATGAACCTATTTTCTTTTAATTGATAGTTTTTTTGGGGTTTTTTGTTTAGATTTTGTTGTAAGATTGTTTAAAAAGAAGACAACCTTTTATATAGCGCCTCTCAAAATAAAAACCACGAGGTGCTTCACAAAAAAAACATTTAAAGTGTAAAAATATTTCAAAAATGATTAAAAATGAGTTTAGGAGGAGAAAAGAACAAAAACTTTTAAGGAAAGGGAGAGAGAAAATGATTAGGAAAGAGGGAAATCAATGGATCCCGGGAAAGGCGGAATAAGAGCAGAATAAGGAGAGGGTGGTGATGAAGCCAGCTTGAACAGGTGAGTTTTCAGCTGATTTTTAAAGGAGACCACCGAGTCCAACAATCTCAGGCTCAGGAGGAGAGGTCCAGAGTCTGGGGGCCACAGCAGCAGATGATCTGTGACCTAAATCCAAAACGCACTCTGGATTTAGTACAAGAGTCAGTCTTACGATCGCATACATTAATGAACATAAGTTGTACTGTAAACAATGCAGCTAGGAGCTGGTGAGGTGTTCTGATCTAACCTTGATGTAATCTTCCAGTCTGTCCTTGTTTATGGCGAGTGTTTGTGCAAGACTCTTAAAGTCAAGGTGGTTCTTCCTCATGAGGAACATGGTACGTTGGCTCTATGCGGGAAAACAAAAGGATTGATGCAGGATCAACATTTAGATTAAAACAAACATTCGGTTTTTTTAACTCCTGAATCTAAGCTGATAAAACTTAGACCTCCTGAAACTTTGCCATGATTATTCCCAAATACTCCATCCATCCATCCATCCATCCATCATGGACCACTTCATTCTCATCAGAGTCTCAGCTGGTTCCACTGTCTGCTACTCACACACTGATCTTGATATTGAGGTAGTTTATTAGGGAAGAACTCTCCAACTTTAGACACAATGTCGATCACTCCTTTGTCGTCCTTCAGCATCCACATAATGACCTTCAGAGATTGACAACAACCAGACGGAGATGAGCACAACATGATGCATTTCAACAGATTTGTCTTTTTGTTTTCCCTACCATGGTCTTGAGACCAAACACGACCTTCATGTGTTTGATGGCAGGCACTAGTCTAGGTAGAAGTCTGTGGGTTGTCTCCAGAAAGCCCACCACTCTCTCAAAGTTCCTCACATCCCTGTTCTTGATGATGGAGTAAACCTGGGCAGAGACGACGCGCAGCCTCCACGAGTCCTCGAGGCTCAGAGGCTGGGAGTCCACATCTGGCCAGCTGGATGGGTCAATGACTGTGAAGATATAACATGGAGTAAGTAAGTAAGTAAAAGTTTATTTATAGAGCGCCTTTCACAGATATAAATCACAAAGCGCTGTACAACATGATAAAGATCAGGGCAAATACCTCTAACCAATAAAAACATCAGAAAAACAATAGCAGTGATAAAATAGTAAATAAAAATCATGAGTATAAACAAAGTGAAGGTGTGAACCCGAACAAAGCCATCTTTTTGAACATTTAGGGAGGGAACCCCTGGATGAAAAGGTGAGTTTTTAGATGATTTTTAAAGACCTCTACAGTGTTAGAGAGACGGAGATTTGAAGGTAGACTGTTCCAAAGTCTGGGTGCAATAGTCTGAAAGGCCCTGTCCCCTTTGGTTTTCAGTCTGGTTCGAGGAACAGCCAGGAGGTTTTCAGATGTGGATCTAAGGTTCTGAGAGGTGGTGTGTGGGGATAAAAGCTCAGATAGGTAGCTTGGAGCCTGGTTGTTAAGAGCTCTATAGGTCAGGACTAAAACTTTAAACTGTATTCTATATTCTACCGGGAGCCAGTGGAGGGACTGTAAACCTGGAGTGATGTGAGCTCGTCTGCTGGATTTGGTTAGGAGTCTGGCTGCTGCATTTTGGATGGCTTGAAGGCGTGAGAGGGAGGTGTTGCTGAGCCAGTAAAAAGAGCGTTACAGTAGTCTAAGCGTGATGACACAAAGGCATGGATGATTTTTTCCAGATCTGCAGTAGAAACCAGTTTACGGACTTTTGAGATGTTTCTCAGTTGACAGAAACAAGAGCGGGAGATGGTTTTGACGTGTGAGTCTAAACTTAAAGCTGGATCAAAAATAACTCCTAGGTTTCTAATGTTGGCCTTGGCTGATGGGCAAAAAGAGGCAATTTCTTGCTTGATTTTTGGCTGAAGTTCCGGGGGTGCAGCGATCAGGGTCTCTGTCTTGTTAGCATTGAGGACAAGAAAGTTGCTGGATAGCCAGTTACTGATCTGGAGACAAGTTCTTCAACTCCTGCTCCAATCCTCCATCATGCACCTGTAAGTCCAAGCACCACAGCGGACCTGATCCTCTTTATTAAAAAAAACAATGGAAAGATGAATGAATGAATAATACAAACTGATCTTGTGTTGACGAAAGAAAGATCCAGAACAACATGCTTTGACAGAAATCCAAGCAACTGCTAGGGCAATAAATCCAAACTTTATCGTTATCGAAATTTCTGACTCTTATCGTGATCATTTTCCCATGTCAGTAAATTTGATAATAAAAAATGAAAAGATGTGTGCAGGTTGGCAACATTCATGTCCCTTTAAAGAGCAAGTCACCCCCAAATCAACTTTTTTTGTTGATAAACTATATAAATGAGTGTCTAATCGCTCCGTAGACACGTTCAGTAAATAGTTTGGCACTTTAGTTAATTTTAGTTAAAATTTAAATTTTCTGCCTGAAACTGTCAGTATTGTGCCGTTGTCAGGTAAAAACTCTGCACTGCATTAGAATTTAAATCTGCCATCGCTATTGGCTAAGAGGTATGCTATGATGTAAACTGGTACATTATGATGTCGCAATGTCGTGAGTGTGTGTATTTGTTAGTGGCTCCACACTCTCGGTCTGCTTGGCAACAGCATTTGTTGCATTTTTCAAACATGAAGTGGGAGTGAGGTACGCTTCTTGTAAGGGGTGACTTGCTCTTTAAGCTAAAAGAATGAATAAAACATGAAAACTATGTTTAAACAGTTATTATTACTAACCGTCTTTTACATCCATCATCTTATGAGCCCAGACATGCTCGATGATCCAAACAGGAAACTTTGAGGAGCTCTGTAACATCCACCCCGCAGCTGTCTTCCCTCCATCAAAGGCCGCGCGGCTCATCACATCGGCGGGCTCTGAGGACGGAGAAGACGGCCAAAAAGAACCCTACTCAGCCTCTTTAACCCCCGCCATGAGCGGGACAGAGACCGGCCTACAGGCCGTCCGGCTAGACATGTCCTAACATGTTATGTGTGTGCTGGGTCGGCTAGAGCCGCTGAACTCGTCGGCGGTGCCGATTCAGGTTCTGAACGGTAACTTCCGTTTCACACAACTAGTCACTGTCAAAATAAAAGCCGTTAAAAGCACAGTATTCGTTAACGTTTGTGGTACAAATATGGGAAAAAAAGATATTTAAACTCCCTTTTAAAATTGGATTATCATATGTAGGTGGTTGACAAAAACTTAAGAGTTAATTGTGAGTTTAAAACAATGTGTCAGAGTTTTACATGTATTTATTAGAAAATTAAGACGTAGGATAGCTAAAACTGCTTCCAGCTAAGTGTTCAAAAAGCATTTCACGTTCGGAATGCGTGCTTATCTTATGTCACACAAACACAAAACCCTTTTCTCACGTTGTTTAACTTTGAAGAGTTTTATTCTGAAGTTGTGTACCGAGCATGCGTGAATCACTAGATTAATTCACGCAGCGGCTAACATGAGTCGTTCTGGCTTCTCCTTCTTTAACCTTTAGACCTTTTTACATCTGCGCGTATCACTGGAAGGTAATAGAGAAATGTTATGTTTCCATATGTCGCAAATGTCACACTTTAGTTACAACAGTTGTGGCAAATACTCAATATAACATTCATGCTCGTAACCTAGCTTAGACGTCTGTGCTAGCTGCTAACGGAGGGAGCGCGTGTTTTGTTGTACTTCACTACCCCGACGGGCGGTGTTTTTAAATTGGCTGCTTCATATTTTTGTCTGACCAATAGAAATAGAAATGTACATCTTTTTCAACTTTTCATCTAAACAGCCCACTCAGTTTCATTTTGTTTGTTTTTTAAATAAAGTTTTAAGTTTTATTTGGAGAAGGAAACATTGTCCAAACTATATTAAACTCTTAATTGTAAATCACGTTATTCATTCTGAAACCAGAATTTCAGCATGCACATTTTGATCTTTTAACAGAATATTGTTATTTTTTTCCCTGCAGTCTCATTCCTGCTACAGCTCCACCATGGCTGCTAGATCATCTGTGTGTCTGCACCAGCTCTCCTGGACACTCTTAAGACCTTGTTCATCTAAAGTCCTCCATCCTGGTCTCAGAGCCTTGAACCTATCAGCAGTCTCCACTCTTACGTCATACATCTCACTTTGTAGACGCTCTATGTGCAGCAACATTAAAGTACGTCCTTTCTTTCACTATATGAAACGGAAAATAATTTCTCCTCCAAGTCCTCCATACAAACATGTGTGTCAGGTAGGAGATCCTGTCCTGCGTTCACATGCAGCTGCTGTAGACCAAGCAGCTGTAACAGGCCCAGAGGTCCAAAGAGTCATCAACACAATGATGAAAGTAATGAGGAAGTTTGAGTGTGTGGGGCTAAGTGCGCCTCAGATTGGGGTACCCCTCCGCATCCTGATGCTTGAATATCCAGTGAAGATGTTTGAGGAGATCTCACCTGCAGCGAGGGACGCTCGAGGTCTATCTGTCCAGCCTCTCAGGATCTTTGTGAACCCTGAGCTGAGGGTTCTGGATAGTCGGACTGTGCTGTTTCAGGAGGCCTGTGAGAGCATCGCTGGCTTTTCCGCCATTGTTCCCCGCTACCTGTCAGTGGAAGTTTCTGGTATGCATGTTTAGAACATATAGTGGAATCATATGGCTTTGTGATTCAACTAAATCCTGTAAAAATGATGGATTTCTGCACCTTGTATTTATTCAGGTCTGAATGAAAAGGGCGAGGCTGTCACATGGCAGACCAGCGGCTGGCCCGCTCGTATCCTACAGCATGAGATGGACCATCTGGATGGGGTTCTCTATCTCGACCGCATGGACAGCAAATCCTTCATTAATATCAGCTGGCAGGAGCATAACGACTAAAACCTCACAGACCTCTTTAATAAATGATTAGCACATATTTGAAGCGTTACTCAACAGCATTTTTTACTTATTTTGAGAAACTGTGCTTCTAGATGAAAGGTCAGAGCACCATCAGAGGAGGTTTGAGAAGTTTTCCGTATCTGGAAACAAATGCAGCAGCTGCCTGTAGTCACACCAAAATAATAAACCTTCCTGAAGCCGTAGGTTTTGCCTTGTTTATGTGCAGCAGCGCATTATTACCATTCATACAGCCTGATGCTGCATCACTGCAACACTTATCTGCTCTACATTTCCCCTCAGAGGATTTTAAAATATGTTTTAAACCATCTAAATTTGGCCAACCAAATGCTGCAGGCCTGCATGAAGATCACTTTTCAACATCTTGGACCATGTTTGTATCTGTTGAACTGAAATAATCTCAGGCCTTAATTATAAAAATAGGTCTGGATTAGTCCTCAGTTCTGTGAAACCAAATCGTTGCTGGCTATTTTCCTGTGATTAAAAGTGTGGTGTGTGTGTGTGTGTGTGTGTGTGTCTCGCTGTTTCACCCTGAAGTCGTAAACTTTATGAGCTGGCACATTCTTGTTTTTTTTTATGTAACCTTTCTGACCTCTTGAGATAGGAGGGAGGCAAGGATTGTGGTTTATTAGTCCAGGCGCAATGAGATAATAAACAGACCATGTATTTGTAAACCGATAAGGATTGCTAGAATAAGAAGTAGAAGAAGAAAATATCATTTCTATAGTGCCTCTCAAGATAAAAATCACGAGGCGCTTCACAAAAACAAAAAATATAAAAAAGCATTTCGAAAATGTTTAAAAATATATTTAAAATGAGCAAGAATAAGCTACTGCGATTTAAAAGAAAAAATGTTAAGAAAGAGAGAGAGAGAACAGGAAAGAGGGAAACCAGTGGATCCTGAGGAAGGTGGAATAGGTGGGGAGAGCAGAATAAAGAGAGAGAGGTGAAGAAGGTCATACAAAACCAGCTTGAACAGGTGAGTCTTCAGCTGCTTTTTAAAGGAGACCACTGAGTCCACTGATCTCAGGCTCAGGGGGAGAGAGGTCCAGAGTCTGGGGGCCACAGCAGCAGATGATCTGTCACCTTTGACCTTTAGCCTGGTGCTGCACAACCAGTAGGCTTTGATCACTGGACCTCAGGGACCTGCTGGGGGTGTAGGGACTAAGAAGATCACCAATGTAAGATGGTGCTTGTCCATGTAAGGCCCTATAGACCAGAACCAGGATCTAGATCTGTAGCACAGGCGTTCTGAAGAGATTTATTGATTCTAGATTTATTGATTCCTCCCCGAGGCTAGGATGAGACGAAAGGAGAGAGGGGGCCACCAGCGGAGAAGACAGAAGAAGAGGGGTGGATCCGGAAAGGAACCAATCAGCAGAGCCTGCCGAAAGATAAGGTGATCGTCTACCAGGCATGGAGTCCCAAGAAGAGGGGGCGTTGCCATGGATACAAACCAGAAGAGTGAGGAGGAAGGGGTTTAAAAAGGCTGGTAGAAGAAGGTTGAGGGGGGACTGGAAACTTGTTGGGTTTTTGTTCGTGTGTGACCCGCTTGTGTCGGGATCTGTAATTGTTTCACCTGTATTTGGAATAAAATGTGTTTCTCGCCTGCGAGGAACGCAAAAGACTTTTCCATCTCTAGGGGTCTCCTCTTTTGACTGGCGGTTCACCCAACAGGTGAGGTGCTGGTTGATCTTATCCCATCCTCATGTTAGAAACAATATCAGAAACTAAATACCATCCTATGCTAAGGTTAAATTAGCTGCTCTTTCAGCATAAATGGAACGGTTTATTATGGTGTGTAACTGACGGAAACAGAAGGGGTTGGAGTAAACCAGAAGTCTTCCTCTGGCTGCTTGAACTAACTTTGGTCAGAACTAGAAGCTCTGGGTTTGTGGTGATTTGCAGATCAACTCTCTGCAGAGTAAGAGTGTTTGCTGGTGCAGGTCGACACACACCCCGTTTTTAAAGGACAACGGCTTTGATGCGTGTGACCTCCCACGGCTGGAGGGCACGTGCAACTGAGGGAAATTCAGTTATGGCAGACGCGAGCGTGCATGAGTCGGATGATGGACAGGATAACGGCCAGGCTGACAGCAGAGACTTGCTGGCGTGTGATAGACGAGCACGAGTGAGAGCAATAGTATCTGACTATTCTAAAGTGTGTTTAGATCCTCCTGCATCTCTAGTAAATTCTATAAATGAGAGTTATCCATCAGGAGCTGGGGTAGCCCTGGCTTTAAAGAGCAGGTACCCTCAATGCCATGAGGCGATTATGGCTCAGAACCCTCCATTTGAAATAGGCCGGGTGTTGGTGTACAGACGGTCTCTAACTGAAGCAAACGATGGGGTGTATGAAATATTAAATCTAGTGACTGCTCCATGTGTGGCTGGGAGTGCTCATGAGGTGCAAGTTGAACAGTTGGTCAGCTGGTACGACAGTGTCAGACGAGCATGTGATACTGGGCATGTCGCCACATGCGTGCTGGGAACGGGGCGATTGGGATATGCTGTTAAAGCATCATTAGAGGCCTTGAAAGCCGTGATGGATCTGCACACAGATACGATGTGGACGCTGGTTCTGAACACAGAAGGGTTACTCAGAGCAGCTCGCCAGACGCTCAATTTAAAGGAGTGGCAGCCAGAGGAAGCTGCAGCACATCCAAGCCCGAAACTGTACCCTGATTTGAGTCTTTTACCCTCGTATGAGGAGAGAGTCATAGCTGGGTTTCAACCTATAAATAAAGATGTCAGAACTGCTACAGCCTGCCATTCAGAGGGGAGCGGGGATGAATCAGACAGCAGTGATGAGCATGAGTCAGATGATCTGTGTAGTGAGTTGGTGACTGATGTCTCTGCTTTGGAAGCACAACTTAAGCAAGGCGACACGTCTGCTTGTCTTGCCTATGGTGTGATGATGCTACAGGGAGATGTTGGTGCTAGAACACTGCCAGCTCCAAACTGGGTCATGACTCTCCTGGTGAAGCCAGGAACGGACCTTCGTCGGGACCCAGCATTAGCACCCTTGAGACACTTAGCCGGGAGGCCAGCCCTAAAAACGTGGGGATCATATATACCTTCGGGCGGAACGCCAGTATGGCTGGATCCGGGGTATCTGGCGGTTAACGCTATAGTGGTCATTTCTCATGCATCAGGCTCAACTCCACAGAGGGAGCTGAAAAACTGGAGAAGTCAGACCGAAAGGGCCGTGCTGGCTGCAGGACTAAGAACAACCAGGGTGGTTTATTACCTTAGAAGCACAAAGAACGTCACCCTGCAGACGCACACAAGAGACGCCATGCTGCACGCTGCCCTAACCAGTCGGTGGTCAGGCAGACTGATAGAGCCGGCCATCTGGGTTCACACCATGGGTGTGGCGGCAAGAGCCTTGGCAGAGCAAAAACGAGCGGAATCGGATTTACCTCAGAGAAGGGAGGCGTCTTGGGCTCCGACAGCACAGATGCCTGTCAGTGATCAGTTGGGGCTTGAGAGGGGGGGTCCCTGCAGACCACAACCTCTGAGAGCCCCCGCTCCTCTCAGGCCTGTGACCCCCACAGCTCCACCTTTGACTCCAGTGAGACACTCCACAGAAATCCCACTTGGTGGACGGTGTGGTTCTGATTACAGACGGCCTTCGGCTGTTTCCTCGATAATACCTCCTCCTCAATCAGACAGCGAGGAAGAGGGGGGCAGAAATAAATGGATGGGCCCTCAGGACGGAGTAAAAGGGAGAGCTTTAAAACCGAAAAGGAGAACTGAGAGTCAGGCTCCTGGCTCCAGATACAATCAGACCCTTCCCCCGTTCACGTGTCCGTGGTGTCGTGGCTTCAGACCCCTCACCGAAGGAGATAATCATCTGGAGCAGGAATGTGAAATGCCTGATCGGTACTCAGGGAGGAAAGAAGCACACATGATAAGAAATGCTACAACCAGCTCAGATGTGAAGCGTCAGTCGGATTGGACAGCACCATTCAAAGCTCAGTTTCTGAGTTGTGGATATGGTTTTTATAGAGATGGCTGTGTCCAGAGGGATGCTGCCGTACAGCAGAGGTATGCTCAATGGGGGCATCAATCACGCCCCCACCCTCCTGTTCAGCAGGAATGTGGAGCCATGGAGCTGGAGAGACTCGCTCCAGTAGAGACTGCTATGGTACAGAAAGCTGGCAATTTGTCTTCATTGTTGGGTCTCGTGCCTGGCAGGAAGGCGGGAGAGCCACAAAATCGCGACATCGCTCGTTTGAGACAGGCCGGTTTGACAGATCAAGCGCCGGAAGACTCTGACATGATTACTTTACCAAAGGCTGAGACTTTGGCTGGTGAAGCTGTCATCCGGTTGCCAGGCTGTGATTTGATGGATGAGTGTATCGCAAGGATGTCAGATAAGGTTAGGAGAAACTTAATACCTCTAAGAACAGCTATGTTGTCCCTTCAAAAAGAGGGAGCATCAATCATACACCAGGAACGGCTGTTATTATCACTTCCTGGAACCATATCTCTGGCTGTAAAATGGCGTGGACTGACAAGAGGTCAACAGCTGGAGAAAATGTATTATTGGGAAGTTAAGAAACTGCTTATTGACCAGTCAAAAAACGCGAGAACCCCCTTCAGTGGGAATGGGGAGAGCCAGCTTGAGGCCGGAGCAGCTTACCCTCAGGAAAGGAGAGGGGGAGAGACAAGTGTTCACAGGGACGACTCACGGAGAGATGCGAGCAGAAACCTGAGCAGGCAGCGAGCACAGACTCAGGAGATGCCAACCGATTGGATCCCAGACGAAGAGTATGCAAAATTAACGTGGGACCAACGCCGTGCTCATCGCCGTATGAGGCGGGGGAGGTTCCAGAGACCTCCTGCGGAGTTACAGTCACCCCCCATTTCCCAAACCACCCCTTCACCCTCGAAGGGGCAATAGATACTCTTCAAAGAAGTGGCACATGTTGACTATCCCTGGATGTTGTGTGTGAACAGAGGACTAACTGTCATGGTCTGCGTCTGCCCTTTCCTGCATGTGCCTCCTGGTGTTTCTCCATCCTCTCTAGGTGCTCCTTTTGTGTCTTCTAGCGCCCTCATGTGTCATGTCTGCATCTTCCTCATGTGTCATGTCTGCATCTTCCTCATGTGTCATGTCTGCATCTTCCTCATGTGTCATGTCTGCATCTTCCTCATGTGTCATGTCTGCATCTTCCTC